AATACTTGAAAAAATGCTCAACATCACTAATCATCAGGGAAATGCAAATCAAAACCACTTTGAGATATCATCTCATTCCAGTCAGACTGGCTATTATCAAAAAGACTGAGCACAACAAATGCTGGTGAGGATGTGGAGAGAAGAGAACTCTTCTACACCGTTGGTGGAACTGTAAATTAGCACAGCCATTATGGAAAACAGTATGGAGTTTTCTCAAACAACTTTCTCAAAGATCTAGAGATAGATCTACCATACGATCCAGCAATCTCCCTACTGGGTATATATCCAAAGAAATCATCATCTCGAAGGGATACATGCACCCCCATGTTTATCACAGCTCTATTTACAATAGCCAAAATACGGAACAATGTCCTTTGACAGATAACTGGATAAGGAAAATGTGGTATTTATACACAACGGAATACAACTCAGCCATAAAAATGAATGAAATTCTGCCATTTGCAGCAACATGGATGAGTTTGCAGAAAATTACGTTAAATGAAGTAAGCCTGGCACAGAGAGAAAAATACCACATGTTCTTACTCATAAGTGGGAGCTAAGAGAGAGAAGGAAGGAAAGAAAGATCCCAATGGTGTGTTGAACTTGCAGAGGGAGAGAACAGACCTAGGGTTGCCAGGGTGGAGGGGTGGGGAATGAGATGGGCATTTGGGAGAGGTTGGGTGGGGGACATGTGGAATAATTGCAATTTGAGGTGGTGGGCATGATGATAGCATTGATTTGCTCACCACATCTTGGGTACAGGTGCTAATGGTTAGCCCTTGTCCCATGAATATGAATAATCAATAATAATAATAATAATAATAAAATTTAAATTGTTGCAGGGTAATGGAGAAAAAAAGTTTAAATACATTCATCGTATTAATAAGAAAGAAGTACATTTTAGAATTGAGTACATTTTAGAAAGATTTTCATCTAAAAGAATTTGAAGTTTTATTGCTTTAAGGAGTAAATCTTGGTTGTCTGGAAAGTTAACTTCTGTGGAATATCCCTTTGCTTCTAAAGAAAATGTTAATGCATTAAATTGAGGTTATTACTGCAACAGAATCTTCAAAAATGTGTAAGTGTGCTCCAATCTTTTACTAAATTCTTTAAGCTACATATCTATTCCTGGTATAGCATGTACTAAAACGATTTTATAATCCAGAGAAACATGGATCAAAGGAGCAAATGGTTAGTAAAGGTAGCAAATAGAAATTAGCAGAGAAGAAAAGCTATGAAATAAAATGCTCATACATGACTAGTCTTGTATCTCTTTATTACTCCTATAAATGCATCTCATGATGTATGTAATCAGAGTCATGGTTATTTAATCTTCTCCTTTTCTGTCCATTGTCTCTTTCAGGACCATGGTTTTTTGGTGAAATCATTGATGGCAAATTAGGTTGGTGCTTTTCCTTTGGGATTTTTGTTAATGGACATTTCCTACAAGGGAGCCTAACGTTTATAGTAGGAGTTTTCCAGGTAAGAAGTTAGAAATGCAATTTAAGAACATCTGAAATTATGTTAAATTAATGCATAACAGTAATGAGTCAAATCCCAAATTAATTACTATAGATCATCTTTCCTACTTTACTTGCAGGGCAATCTTTAATAACTGATGTTTTGTTTGCTTTTAGAATGCTCCCTAAACTCCTTCTTCTACTACTCTTATGTGAACGTCTAAAATACATTTTTGGCAGGTGGGATTTGTAAGAGGTGAAAGAGGTTTTTGTTAGTGTTATTAGTTTCATTTTGCTTTTTCATTGACAAAAAATGAAATAAGGGACTGATTGGTAGAATAAATGAGACTTCTGAGTAAACCAAAACATTCTGATAATGAATAAGGAAAACGTTTCAGAGGGAGTAAAAGAAAAAAATGCACACACAAGAGAAGTAGGTCAGTTATTCAGTGGAAGCTGTGCTGGACAAAAATCAGACCTGAGCTTTCCAGTGATGTCTTAGCAGTATACTTGTTTGGGAAACACTGATGTATTAGGTTTACATTTATTCCTTTAAAACAAATACACACACACAAAAATCCTGATCCATAGCAAAACACCATAAACAGATTTGAAAACTATTTACCTAACAATTTCTTTATTTTACTCACCTTATGGGGCTAGTGAACTGATATCTGAAGTGATAATTTGAAGTTTTGGAAGAAATCCAAAAATATTGTTCAAAATGAGTTCAAAACCTCCTAACAGGGCAATAAAACATGATCCAGCAGGATTAGAGACAGCAAAGTAGGGAAGGCCTCTACCTAGCAAATACTGACCCCAGTTCAGACATTCTCTGCATAGCAGCATTATGTATGTGAGTAGGCCCTGGGTCCAATTCAGTTTTCTATTATGTAGATGGAGGCTGTCTGTCAGGAGTACTCTTATGCAAGTGAAACCTGAGCCTTACCAAAAGGTAGGGTTTTTTCTTTGTAAATGTTTACATTCATATTTTAATAAATAGTACACTAACAATGGATTTTATGTATCATCCAGGCCCATGACTCCTAAATCTATATCTCTGACCTAGACCTCTGTACATCAAGTGCTTATTTATCCAATTGTCATTTAATATCTTCCCTTAGATGTCTAACAGGCATCGCAACTTAATATTATGTTTCTAATAGGAACTTTAATTTCCACCCCAAACCTGTTCCTCCTCCAGTTCTTTCCAGTTTCAGTAAATGACTCCACCATTCAACCAGTCTCTCCAGGATGTATTCTCAATTCTTCCTTTTCCTTCATTCTCTGTATCTAGTTTATCAGCAAGCTGTACCTTGTTTGATCTATCTCCAGTACGTATCTTGAATTTATCCACTTCTTCTCCATCTTTGTTACCACCATCCTAGTCTAAGTCATAATTATTTCTTGCCTAGGTCTTCTCACTGCTATTCTTGCGTCCCTACTGTCAGTTTACCACAGAACATCCAATGTGGTCTATTTAAAACCTTAGCTCACTCATTTCTCAGCTTGAAACCCCTTAAGCAGAGCAATGACATGATCTGGGTCCTGCTGACTGCCCCAATTTCCACTTGGCTCATCATGCTCTGGGATTGTTGCCTTAAAGAGGCAAAGATCTCTCTCATCTCTGGGCTTTTCATTTGTTCCTTCTTCCTGGAATGCCCTTCTCTCCACTGACTCATTCCTGTCATTCAGGCCTCAGAGAGCCTGTCTTCCAGTTAACCTTCATGTCACATGACCCAGTTATTTCCTTCATTGAACTTTCACAATCTGTAATGATCGTTTCTGGTTTTTTAATATTTTTTTTGGTCTCTCTTTTCCCTGTTAGACTGTAAGTTCTATGGTTGATCTTTGCAAACTTGTTCACCAGTGTGTCCCTAACCTAGAGCCTAACACAGTGCCATCCACATAATGGGTGCTCAATAAACATTTGTTGAATGAATGAATGAAGCATACAGCAGCTAAACTTGGATTACAATTTAGATCTTCTAATTTATATTTCAGTACTTATCATGCTACCTCAAACAAAAATACAGAGATAACAACAACAACAAAAATACCGGTAGCCAAGTCCCCGCCTCATTCCTACAAAAAAGAGATTGTGTGCATGTGTGTGCACATATGAATACACACACTCAATTCATTTCCAACTTAAACATTGTTGGGTATCTACTGTGTATATGATACCGTCCTACAATTTGGGGCTTCAATGTAAATTAAGCGATACCTGCTCCTAAGATGAATGAAAGGACTTGGGCAAATACACAACTAAGTACAAGTCAACTGTTGTGTTTTAAGCAGGTGTGATCAAAGCATAAAGAATCAGACAACCCCAAGACAGAAAGCAACATATTCTTAGTGGCCACCAACAATGTGTAAATGACACCTGACCCCTCCAAGGAGTTGGTGGTAAGCTAATGGTTCTTTTCTGCTCATTTTTCCAGCTGGTGTTTTTTAACATCCCCTTGATGGCTTACCTGTGTTGGAGCTTGCTGCAGCGGTGCTTTGGTCACAACTTCAGGTCTCATCTCTGTCAAGGAAAATACTTGAAAATGATACCTGTTCACTTACTTATGCTACTGCTGTACATCTGGCAAGTTTATTCTTGCTACTTTCTTTATGTGACATATGGCACCCTAGCTGTTTTATTCTCCCCTTTGCGGACCTGGTTGACACTGCTGACACCTGTTCTCATTCATTATGTGTGGACACTGAATTCTATAAAGTTTGGAACCTTCATGGTGCAGTTAAAAAGCCATCTGAGCTCCTGAAGGCCATGATTCACAACTGGCAGCTGGGAAAAAGTCCAATCTCTGCATCTGTAGCCTAGGTCCTTGCCCCAGTAGCAGGTGGAAGGCCAGTATTGGTGGGTGAGCTTTAAGGAACTGCTGTTCCTTGGACACCTGGTTGTTAAAGGGATTACCCACTACTGATTCCTGCAGAATGGACTGCAGAATAGTCTCTAAATAATGCTTTGATTCCTTCCTTCCCTAAGGAAGCAAAGGGTTAATTTACCTTTGTGAAGAGAAAGCCCTAATCTGGATCCACAGGGTAGGGGTTGGGTGTGTGAACAGAAATATGCGAGGCCCAGTGTTTTTTGTGTTTTTTTTCTGGGGTTTTTTTTGGCAGCTGTTCGGTATGGGGATCCTAACCCTTGACCTCGGTGTTCTCAGCACCGCTCTCCCAAGTGAGCTAACCGGCCAGCCCCCAGTGTTTTTTAGGGTTACCCCATGTAAAGCTCCTGCGCACCGTGCCTGGAACTCAGCAGCTGTCAAAGGTGCCATTTAAGGGGCTGGGAACCTTTGCGGACTCGGGCCTGATTCTGACTACCCTTGAGATACTAGTTCTCAGCCCTGTTTTCCCACAGGGTTATAGGCTCTCTGCTTCCTTAGCCGCAGTGTTTTCAACTAATCAAATAAATGAATGAATGATGAATAAAAAAATATCACAGGCGTAAACCTTGCAAGTGTGGCCGGGCCCCTGGGGGCGGGAGGAGGCGTGTCCGCCTCTCGGGGGGCGTGGCCTTGGGATGGGTGGGGCCGGCTGTTGCCGGAAACAAGCCCACGTCTGTGGGAGCCGGAAGTAGGGCGGCTGTCGCAGTGCGTCTGTGGCGGCGGCGGTGGTGGCATTTGCTGGCTTCTGCGAGCGACTTGAGATGGCGAGTGCAGCTCCTGCAGCCACAGTTCGCACCCTGGCTCCGCCTTTGGAGCAGCTCCGGCACTTGGCATTGGAACTGCGGTCGCTACTGCCTCCAGTGCGGGGTGAGGTGACGCAGTTGGGGCGGGCGACGGCAGGGGCGGGCCTAGGGTGGGGGAGAGGCCTGGTTGGGGAGGGGTCCCCTGGCGGAGGAGGTGGCTCCGCTTACCTCACCTTTTCCTTTCACCATCGTCCGGTCCCCACACGTTACATCTACAAGTGGGTGAAGCCCAGGAGACCACCGAGGAGTTTAATCGGGAGATGTTTTGGAGACGACTCAGTGAGTGCCTCTCTGGTCGGGGACCTCCATCCTTCACCTCTTCCAACGTCCCTTTCCCCCCAGTTCTCCCCATGTGGTGACTACGTTCCCCCCCCCCCCCCCCCCCCCCCGTCTCATCCTCTCTGTGGGGATACCTCATCGTATCCCTAATCGGCACTTGAGACGGTGAAATATAAAACGTTGCTTTTTGGAGGTGTTTTTGAGACGTCACAGCCAGGAAGGGTGGAGAGAGGGAATGCATTATCTTCAAAGCCCGTGCCGCAGCTGCAGCCTTAGCCTTTTGGCACTAACGTATTGGCACCTGCCTCCTCCTCTGCCACCCCTCTCCCCCCCAGGTGAGGCAGCTGTGAAAGTGTCAAGGGAAGCCACGACTCTGACCACAGTCTTCTCTCGACTTCCACTGCCATCTCCACAGGTGGGCTTCACTTTCCTGGAATCCTTGTGCTGCTTCGATATTCCTCTTATTTTCTTTCCACCTTTTACACTCAAGCCAGGAGATTTATTTTCCTCGTCTGTCAAATGAGATTACAGTTCTTACCTGAAAAGATTGTTTTGAAGACCAAATTGCCAAATGCAGTTCCTGGTGTAGGCAGGCCTTCTAAGTATCGTTTCAGTCGGAAGTTCAGCTTGGTAATTTCCATTCTGACATTTTTTTAAGCACTTGTTATTTGCTAGGTGTTCACACCCATGATTCCCATCTGACAGATGAGCAAGAAGGCTCAGAGGCTCAAATTAAGATAAATTAAGGTCTGATGTGTAACTTTACCTATTCTTTATTTTTATATTTAATCAGTAACATATGTAGATAGTATAAAATTCGAAAGATATCAAAGTTAAATGTGCTAAAAGTTCTTATCTTCCCACCCCAGTTTCCCATTTTTTTCTCCCCTCCTCAGTTCCGTTTGTATTGTTCTATATACCGTGTCTGCTTCTTTTTACACGAAGGATAAGATGCCATAAACACTGTTCTGGACCCCCCCCCCCTTTTTTTTTTTTATGCTGGCCAGTACAGGGGTCTGAGCCCTTGATTTTGGCATTATAACACTGTGCTCTAACTGACTGAGCTAACCAGCCAGACCTTGTGATCCTTGATAAGATGCCATAAACCCTGTTCTGGGCCCCCCCCCCCTTTTTTTTTTTTGACCGGTAAAGGGATCGCAACCTTCGGCATAGTGTGGTCTGCACCACGCTCAGCCAGTGAACGCACCGGCCATCCCTATATAGGATCCGAACCCGTGACCCAGGCGCCACCAGTGCCGGACTCTCCCGAGTGAGCCACGGGGTCGGGTCTGGACCTTTCTTTTTTAAAAAATTAGCAATATAGCTTGGAAATTGATTCCTAGCATCACATACAGAGTTGCTCAGTTCTTTGTAATGGTTGCATGGTTTTCAGTAGAGTGGATATAACCATAATTTAATCAATACTGTATGTGCACATTTAAACTGTTTCCAACTTGTAGCTATTGTAAATGGTGCTGTGGTGAATTATATAATATAATCTTTGTGTATGTACTTCATACACACAGGGTACTTCAAAAAGTTCATGGGAAATGTAGAATTAAAAAATACAAAGTCTTTCCATGAACTTTTGAGTACCTTCATAGATCAGTAGAAAAATTCCCAGAAGTGAAATTGCTAGAACAAAGAATTTATGCATTTTTAATAATCCTTTATTATAAAACTAATGAAATAAACATGTTGGCTGTGACCAGGCATGCCCTATGCTCAGTTTTTCTAGAGATGTGTATACTTAATTTGGGAGTAAAGTTATTTAAAATGGCTTATTCATTGTTTTATTTGATTTTCATAGTCAATAGTTTCATTCTCTTAATCTATGTATTCATATGTTTTAAAATGATATAAATACCCTTTTGCTGCATACACCTACAATGACAAACTCTCTGGCCTTACACACCTCTGAGATCTGTGATAAAGAAACAAGAGATGAATTGTATGAGAGTACTTTAAAAGATTCATGGAAGAAAGTCTATTTATTTCAAAAGGAGTAGTAATATTACCTTATTTTTCTTCTCATCTGACTCCTTTCTTTCAAATACACTTAAGACTTGCTGCTAAAATGCACAACAAGTAAGATACCATCAGAAGGCAGCATACAACTATTTTTCTGAACATGCTCGGGACACTTATACGTAAAAAATTAGAGTTTGTTTTTATTTGATATAAATATATATATTTAAATATATTAATTTTTGAATCACAGTTGCCTCCTAGGATCTCAGCACTTTAGTCCTACTGAAAGATAGTTTGTTGTTTTTTAATTCTAACCTGTATAGACTGATATTTTTATAAAATTATATGTTTGGGGCTGGCCTGGTGGCACACTGGAGAGTGCGCCACTTGGGAGTGCGGCGGCGCTCCTGCTGAGGGTTCGGATCCCATGTGGAGACCAGTTCCCGCTCACTGGCTGAGCACGGTGCGGGCGCAACACCGAGGGTTGCGATCCCGTTACCGGTCAGTAAAGACAAAAAGGAAAAAAAAAAATTATATGTTTGGATGTGGAAGCACTGTCAAATTGCCATGAAAGTTTCTAAACACTCTCAATCACTATACCTGTCCTGGGCTGGTAACAAACAGTTTGTGGACTGGCACCAATCTGTACCACATTTTGCATAGCACTGGCTTAAAATTTAGCAGAGAAGTGAGGACAAGGAAGACGAGAAAGCCAGTGATCCCTTAGAAGGAATGTAGTCAACACTGAGCATTGCTAACTACCTTTAGTTACATATTGTGATTCAATTAGAGAGAGAGACCTCGTTAATGGTCTAATACGGGGTTGACAAACTTTTTCTGTAAAGGGCCAGATAGTAAATATTTTAGACTTTGCAGGCCAGCTACTCAACTTTGCCCTTGTAGTGGGAACACATATAAACCAATGAGCATGGCTGTGTGCCAATACTACCATATTTGCAAAAACTGGCAGCAAGCCTGATTTGGCCTGTGGGTCATCATTTGCCAACTCATGGTCTGAGATATGACGAATACCTCACAGCAGCTTACAAATATCTTGGGATAGAGAACACTGGGAATAAGTTTTTCCTGTTGTTTTTTAATGCTTAATTGAGTTGAGTCCAGTGTCTTGTGTCCAGCTAACTCTTCTCTGGTACATGATGAGGCCTGACTCATAATAGGACTTCAGAAAATGTTTGCTGATGCTATATAGATGTCTGCTGTCTTCCACAGTAGATGGGTTGGCCACATTGATCTAATCCATTTTCTTTTTTCATTCTGAAATGGGTCCATCACCACAAAGGAAACCCAGAGATTCTGTGAACAGGTCTGTGCTGCCATCAAGGCAATTATTGCAGTATACTATTCACTTCCCAAGGATCAGGGTAAGCCATTATGCACAAATAAGTGTGTGTTTATAGGGTAGATCTTTGCTGACATGATGGGTTATGTCTTGAGACTTTTACGTTTCACCAACTTGAGCATGTGACTTTCCCCCATAAAATACAGTCAAGGATAATTTTATAATGTAATAATCTCTATAAGCAAGCCATTATGTTAAGGTACAGATGCTGTGTTCCTATGACTCCCATCTCCCCTGCCTTGCCTGACTCTTAAGGCTTTTAATTCTCGCTGGCTCCTCCCTCTCCAACCCATTCTAAACACTACAGATGCTGGCTGGATCTCAGCCCCATACACTGTGGTGAATAAAGGCCCAGACTATCTTCACTTTCCTCCACCCATGTTACATACTTCCTATTTCCAATCTCCCACATAGGTTAAGTGGCCTCCAGCCCTGCCTTTAGATTCATGCCTTGATTGTAATCATGCCAAAATTACAAATGAATACATGTCATGGATCTTCAGCATTACCCAGAAGTGGTTTAAACCTCAAGTGTTTCATCCACAGTTGTCAAGGGACCACTGTCTTTAATGAATGAGTACATGCTGCCATGGAAAGATTTTATTCCAGATCTCTTTTGGAGAACTGCACTAACAAATGGTGGGAGAGACAATAAAATGACATGGGGACATAAATAAGACCTGAATTTTGTATTGGCACTTCAGTTAAAACATGTGGGCAAGTAGGTGCACATTAGATTATAGTTCTGTAGTGCTCAGACTCAGAAAAGCAGACAGTGACTTCTGAAAAGACCAGGCTGCTTACTCTTTGGATTTGGCCACAGGGATCACCCTGAGAAAGCTGGTACGGGGCGCTACTTTGGACGTCGTGGATGGCATGGCTCAGCTCGTGGAAGTGCTTTTTGTTACTCCAGCTCAGAGGTTGTGATGCCACAGTTTGGGTTATCAGTTAATGGGGTTCCTTGCCATGGGGCTGGGGGAGGAGGACTCATTTAACAGCAAAGTTAGTTGAGAATAATGACTGGCAGGAAGGAAGTTTTTAGGAGACAGGAACCTAGGTTATTGATATATTCTTACTGATTCCTTTCCCCAGCCCTGAAAACAGTGATCTTATCTCCTGCAACAGTGTCTGGGTTGCATGCCAGCAGGTGCCTCGGATACCAAGAGGTGAGTGAGAGTGGGACTCTGCTGGCCAAAGCAGAGAGACCTCTCATATCTAGCTTCCGGGAAGCTTTGTAAGATGAATGTATTTTAATTTATATAAACAGTTTAGTGAAATATATATAATTTACCACCAACATTAATAGATAGATATTAATACTTTTTGCCATTCTGTAGTTTTCATACTTCTAAATTCAAACCCTCCTCTTACTGTGGCTCTGTCTCTTGTTGAACAGATGTGGTTTGTTCTCCTAGTCCTGCCCCAAGAGCAAAATTATGGAGCACACTGAAGCAGTTATGAGGTAGAGCCAGCTAGGCCAAAAGCAGTGGTTATCCAAGAGGACTGTAACAAGAAACATCAGTGACCATTTCATTTCTTCTTGTGGGAATAAAGGAAAACTTTTTGGTCCCTTGTCTGGGTACCAGGGGATGTAGTTAGAAGAACTTTACATTATCCATCATCCTTGTTCAGTGTATTTGGCACTCCTTTCATTAGGAACAGTGTTGTTTGTCCTTGGCAGTCTTATGAGAATCACTGGGTTTCTCCTCTAATTCGAGTGCTTCTGACTTTTCACTCATAGATAACAAAGCTGCAGCCCTTTTAATGCTGACGAAGTGTGTGGATTTTGTAAAGGATGCACATGAAGAAATGGAGCGGGTGAGGGATCCTTGTCTTTGGTAACTTGAAGATGACTCCAGGACTAGTGGATGAAAGTTGATTATAAAGAGAGATTTCCTAAGCTTTGACTGAATAGGTTCTACTCTCACTCCTGTCCTGTCTTCCATCTCCCACCAGAGGCTGGTGTGTGACTTAGTACCACTCCTCTCTGTTTGTTGGTGGACAAGAAGAATGAGAACAGGGTTTATGAAATGATTTGACTCTGTAGCCATTAGTGAAGTAGCTCTCAGGTTTTAGACAACTCAGTAATGGTGCTAAAAGTGTAATAGGTCTTTTTTTTTTTTTTGCATTCACATATATTATGGTTTGTCTTAGGCTGTGGAAGAATGTGACCCTTACTGTGGCCTTGTGAATGACACCCACCATGAGGAGGATGATGTGTTGGGGTTTCCAAGCAATCAGGACTTATATTGGTCAGAGGCAGATCAAGAGCTCATAATCCCATGCCTTGCACTGGTGAGAGCATCCAAAGCCTGCCTGAAAAAAATCCGGATCTTAGTGGCAGAGAATGGGAAGAAGGATCAGGTGGCCCAGCTGGATGACATTGTGGATATTTCTGATGAGATCAGCCCCAGGTAGGCGTGATCCACACTTAAAACATCTGAGCAGGAGCGTTCTGATCTCAGCTTATACTGTCATCCCAAGATTTTTTCCCAGGTTTTTGTATATTGAAAATTCTTAAACCCACAGGAAAGTTGAAATGGTACTTCAGTGAACACCCCTACTACATCTTTCATCTACATTCACCTGTTGTTTACATTTTTTTCCTATATTGGTTTGCTTCTCTACAGATAGACATGCCAAAGTTTTTTCTGAACCATTTGAGAGTAAGTTGCAGGCATCAGTGACATTTCATCCCTGAATACTTCAGCATAAATCTCCCAAGAAAAAAGACATTCTTTTTTTTTGGCAGCTGGCTGGTACGGGGAACTGAACCCTTGACCTTGGTGTTATAAGGCTGTTACAAGTGGGTCTCTAACCCACTGAGCTAACGAGCCAGCCCCCTGAAAAAATAACATTCTTATTTTTGTTATCACATTCAAGTAATTTAATACTGAATATAATAATATTTTCTAATATTCAAATTTCTCCAGTTGTCCGCAAAATGTCTTTATAAATCCAGGATTTGTCAGGGTCTCACATTGCATTTGGTTGTCATCTCTTTAGTCTCTTGCAGTCACTCCCCTTTTCAGTCTTTTTTGACATTGACATTTGTAAAGAAACCAGGTCAGTTGTCTTATAGAATATCCAATAATCTGATTTGTATGATTGTTTTCTCATAATTGTGTTCAGGTTAAACATTTTTTGGCAAGAATATCATATAGCTGAGTGTTTTGTGCCTCTCAGAGTATCATATTGGGAAAGCACATGATGTTGGTTTACGCCATTATTGGTGGTACTAAATTTGATGACTTGGTTAAAGTGGTGCCCAATTATTGTAGCTTTTATTGATGAACCTTGCCTGTATCAGTTATTAAATCAGTGGTTTCAAATTCTCACATTTTTTACTGAATTAATCATGCCACATCCTACGAATTGAGGGAATTTCTCCCCCAGCTTCCTAGTGAAATGGGATAAGTATGTTTCAATAAATACTGATTGAATTGATTCTGTATTGGTTAGCTGGTTGCCCAATTTAAGGAACTGATAAGCATTTCTTTGGCATTTTCTCAATAGTTGTGTCTGTAGTTGTATACTGGAAACAACACAGCTGAGCTTTGTTCCTGTCTTTGTTAATGATTATTTTTGCTTTCTTAGTGTAGATGATTTGGCTCTAAGCATATATCCACCCATGTGCCACCCAACTGTGCGAATCAATGTAAGTACTGGCTTTGAGGGAATAGCTACAGACTTAACTGTAGAATTTCATAAGTCATTAGTATCTTCTCTAAGCTGTAGGGTACACATTTATTTGTCATGCTTGGATGCAAGTACAACAGTAATGTCACAGTTCTTACATGTATTTGTGCTTGATAAATATTTGCTGACGTTGAGTTATAATAGCTGTGAGCTTTGGTAGTTCTCTCTCCCATAACCGTTTGGGTAAATGTTTGAAAAAGCCCAGAGACCTTAGAAAATTCTGCTTTGCAAAGAAAGTCTTAATTATACAGTGCTTTAGAAACCACTCAATCTGAAGTCACAAGTTTCTAATTTCTAATCTAGGCAGAAATAAGTGCACCAGAAATATACTCCATTCTAATATGTTACACATTGTGTGATTAAACCATGGAGAGTCAAGCTTTTTATAAAAATCTGATTTTATTGTATTCTTTCAAGTGCTGTGCCCTTTACTAGAGAGAGAGTTCAGTTCTCTTGTTTTTAGAAACTCAAGTTCTTATCTCTAATGTTATTGCAAAGATAAGTAAAACTGCCAAATGGCATATATTTTATAGTCAGGTGTATCAATTCTCACAGTACTAAGTATTTGATAAATTAGATAGTGGAAGTTAGATCCATCAAACGTATCTTCATGATGTACAAACACCTTGAAGTGGAATAGGATCTTTTTGGGCATGAACTTTTTTTTTTTTTGGCATTAACTTTTTAAAGATGGACTTGCTAAGAAATATTTTTAGCAATATGCCGTGTCAGTTATCTCAAACATAATATCTTATTCTAGGAATTGAAAAATATATACTTATATTGTGCCTTATTTTATATTGGTGGCATATATATGTCCCATGTTATTTTGATATTGGTGTTCTTAAAATTCTTGATTTTTTTTTTTTTTTTTATAAAAAAGGAAGACTAATCATCTCTGCTTTATATTCTGAGCTATCAGCAGTTGGGACAAATTCAATTTACATTCTTTTCCCATTCTTTTTTTAATTAAAAATATATAAAATGTTATAGCAACAGTAAGATTTTGCTAAATAGAAAAGAATCCATAAGAATAAGAATCCATACCCTTACCGAATTGGCATTTTTGGTTTTGCATATTTCTCTCAAGGTTCTTTTTTTTAATGATTTTTTTATTACTTGTATCTTTTAAAATATTTGAGTGCTCCTTTTTATGGTAGGACCCTGGGTAACTTCTGTGTTTCTTTTTTAGTCTGCGAAACTTGTATCTGTTTTAAAGAAGGCACTTGAAATTACAAAGTAAGTATGAGGACTTCTCCCCAGATGGCTTTTTTAGAATAAAACAGAGTTCCTGTCCAGCCATTTTCAACTCCCAAGGCCAACTTTCTTTTTTTTTTTTGTCCTTTTTGAGTTGAGACCGGCCGCACTGCGCTCAACCAGTGAGCGCACCGGCCATCCCTATATAGGATCTGAACCCGCGGTGGGAGCGCTGCTGCGCTCCCAGCTCCGCACTCTCCTGAGTGCGCCGCGGGCTCGGGCCCCCAAGGCCAACTTTCAAGGAGTGAGAAAGGGTGGGTGTGGGGTTTTCTTTTAACTTCAGTTGCAGAGCAGAGTTTCAGCAAAGAAGCTTGCCTTTTGTTTCTATAGTTTCTGTGTTACCACTTGAGGACAGGTTTTTCCTCGATATTATAATAAATTTAACTTCTTTTTTTCTATTCCATTTGCAGAGCAAGTCATGTGACCCCTCAGCCAGAAGACAGTTGGATTCCTTTACTCATTAATGCCGTTGATCATTGCATGAACAGAATCAAGGAGCTCACACAGAGTGAACTTGAATAATGAATTTTCAGGCTCATTTGTACTCTCCTCTCTCACCATGATAGCCAGGCTCTGATGTTTGCTTTTAAAATGAGACTAGAATGCTAGATGGATTGAAAGGAGGTTCCTGTCTATATTTAACAAGAGACAATATTACCAAAGATTGTTGGTTAGGCTACACGTAATTATTTATAAACTATATGAATGTGATGTATTTTTCTATGCTAGATACAAAAAGTAATTGCATGAGTTTTTGTTCCTAAACCACCTCTCAGAGATTTCTAGGGAAGCTGCCTTATTCCTTATTTGCAATAAAGTATGTTGTCTCATTGTTAAAGATGTTGACGGTTTCAGTAAAATGCTAACCTACCAGTAATTAAATGAGTACTCTTCCAGAGTTTATTCCTACCAGAAATACAGTGGGTTGAGACTAGAACATAGCTTTCATTTGGGTTTATAGTCTAAAGATCTGATTCTGATCAGAAGTATATTTAGGACCAGCCCATGGCTCACTTGGGAGAGTGTGGTGTTGGAAACACAAAGGCCACGGGTTTGGATCCCTATATAGGGATGGCTGGTTCGCTCACTTGGGAGAGCGTGGTGCTGACAACACCAAGTCAAGGGTTAAGATCCCCTTACCAGTCATCTTTTGAAAAAAAAGTATATTTAGAACAAAACCACTTTAATTTATTGAGAGAAGACTCCAGAGCCCCTACTAGTATTTCAGCATGTTATATAATATTATTATTATCAGTAAGTCCTTCTGAATATTATCCCAGTTTACTGCATGCCTCTAAAATATATTGGTATTGAGCTTATTTATTAGGTTTGTTCATCTTATTGAACAGATTTGTTTCCCTTATGCATACCTGTATGTTGTTATCTGTTATATTTTACATATGTCCCCAAGTGTAAGTAACAAATTTTTATAAATTAAGAATATTTTGATGTAGGGCCGACCCCGTGGCTCACTCGGGAGAGTGTGGCGCTGGGAGCGCAACAGTGCTCCCGCCGTGGGTTTAGATCCTATATAGGGGTGGCCGGTGCACTCACTGGCTGAGCGCGTTGTGGGCGACACCAAGCCAAGGGTTCCGGTCACAGAAGACCAAAAAAATATATTTTGATGTATATGAATTTATATAATTTTAAGAGCCTTTTTTGTTAATCCTTTTGCAAAACCTTCATCACTTAATTATGTTTTTGCATCAGTCTAGAAGATCACATATTGGAAAGCAGAGTTACCTGAATTGAGCCTTATACATGTATTACAGTTCTCTAATGCCAGACTTTTTTCTTCCATTGGTGTAATTTACCACATCTGACTTTATGATCTCTTCAGGTATAATCAGCAATATCAATCATCTTTTTGAGTGGCTAGTGGATACTTGAGATTGAAATTCATTAAGCCAAATGAGTTTTAATTTACTTTTTAAAAAGTGCTATTCTTTTTTTTTTTTCCTTTTTGTCTTTTTTTGTGACTGGTAACGGGATCGCAACCCTCAGTGTCACACCTGTACCACGACCGGCAACGGGATCGCAACCCTCGGTGTCACACCCGCACCACGCTCAACCAGTGAGTGGACCGGTCTCTATATGGGATCCGAACCCTCGGCGGGAGCACCACCGCACTCCCAAGCGCTGCACTCTACCGAGTGCACCACTGGGCCGGCTCTAAAAGTGCTATTCTGTACTTACAAGTGACATGAAAAGAAGGAACTAAAATCAAACAGATTAAGAGTGCCAAAGCAACAAAACAGCATAAACAGAAAATCATAACATTGTACAAAAGGAGTTCAGTTCTTTTATTTTTCTTAGAAGGCCTATTTTCTATATACTTAATAATTTTCATATTTCCCTACTGGACTGAATTTGTGTTATTCATATCAGACTTTAATTGTGGGACACAATGTATATAGAACTCTGAAAAAGAATTATCTATAGCTAAATCTAGATCACTTTGCTCTTAGGTCCTCTGTTGTGTATAACTTTGTTCAGTCATGTTTGGATCTTTAAGGATAAGGATCAGGGATAGCACTGATCAATGTAATTTTAGTATTAAAAATTCCATTTTATTTTATTTTTTATTTTTTAAAATTTTTATTGAATCAAAATTGATTATACGTATTTTTAGGGTTCAACATTGAGATATGTTGATCAAATCAATATTACTAGCATATATAATGTCACAAATTATAATTATTCTTTGTGGACGCTCCTTGTCCAATCTCTCCCCACCCCCCTTTCCCTCCCCCCTTTTCCCTCTACCGTAGATTTCTTCTCTCCTTCGGAAAGAGTAATGGTTATTCTGTTGATTTGTTGCCTAGATGATCTGTCCAATGCTGAGAGGTGTGATCAGGTCCCCAATATTATCATAGAGTAGATATCACTCTGAAATGGGCTTTGTGGAGAGAGACGTCTTCTTTTCTTTATCTCTGCTGGTGACTCTCCTTGTGTCAATGCACTCCAGCCATGGTTATTGTAGTGGGCCACCCACATGGAGGTGATGTTTTTGGCATGCTCCTTAAAAAATTCCATTTTTAGCTAATATTGTTCCATTCCACCAGAAATACAAGAATGATTTAAAATGTTAGGTCCTTTCCCATATCTATAAGTTAATGAAATCTGTTAATGAGGAGTAAAATGGTTGTGAAAAACTCTGAGCCTGAAAAATCTGTACTCCAAAAAGGTATCTGAGTACCCTTTTAAAAAATCTGAATGTACTTTGAAGTTATCTGAGTACTTTTTCAAAGGCCTCCTTTTGTCATTCAAGCCCAGTAGTTTCTCTTCTAAGACAACTAGTCTTCGTGGCTGCCTTAAGCTGGGGTGACAGAAATGAATTTCTTATCTATCAATTTCTGGGAATCTAGTTTTGTTCTTGGTTACTCTTCTGCTCAGCCTTATTGGAGACTCCTTTGTCTAAGCAAAATTTCCCTTCCCAGCACATGTTTGGTTTTAGATCATAGCTTCAAGTGTTGGTTGGGGAAAGTGGTGACAGAGCTGGAAATTTAAGCTGAAAGTTTAGGGGCGATCACAGTGACACTTCTGTGGCTGTTTAGGTTCTGGAACATGTTGCAGTCCATTTCAACAGTGAGCCTCTGGAGTCCTATGTGTGTTGGCGTGAACTGGAACTGGGTGCACAAGGTGTTTCCAGGCCACACTGAACTTAATCTGAAATAAAGGAAAAGGCAAGTGCTAGTTCTTTCCTAGGTTCATTGTTCTGCTGGTCCCAGTGACTGAATCTTCCTTGGTTGAAGAGGTGGATTATGCAGAAATAAACATCTAAGTACCTTGCTGTTAAAACAGAGGTGGTTATAAGAGGATAGAAGACAGGAGCCTCCCCACACTGAGTAATTGCATAGTTGGGAAGAGATGCTCTAAGGGCTTCTCAGCTGCATCTGTTGTTCCTTTTATCACCTGCGACTTCAGTCTGGCTCAATTCTTGGTAATAGTGCTGGGATGTGTTTGGAAAAGTAGTAGTTTTGGAACTCTTGCTTATTGCTAAGTGCAGTGGGTGCAGCAAGCATATTGAGAGGATGTCAGTATGTTAGCAGGTGGTGTTTGGAACACTATCAGCAACCTCCTGGCCTGCCTACAGACCTTCTTTTGGTGACTGAGAATGGTGCAGATTTTCGTTGAGGAGCTTTGTCCTACCATTGATCTGAGAGACCACAAAATTCTGGTTAAATGTTGACAGTCCTTTCTCTGGGTTTGCTGGCATGAATGACTCATTGAGTTTACAAGGCTGAGGCAGTGGCTCAATAACCCAACTACCTGCCAGGGACCTCAGGGATGGTAGGAGCAGATATGTGGAACCTTAAATTGCATACTGCATATTCAGTGAAAGATGCAGTGGACATGAAAGAAGATATTTGCAACATCGGAAACCAAGGGACTAATACCTAGAATACACAGGGAACTCCTACAAATCAACAACAAAAAAAGGCAGGAATACCATAAGGACAAACTAAGGATTTACAGAAAAGGAAATGGAAAAGGCTAACAAACATATGAAGAGTTGCAAATTAAAACAATAGTAAGATATTACTTTATTCCTATTAGACTGGAAGAAAATAGAAAGGTGAGTATTTCCAGGAGTGGAGGAAAGGTAGGAATATAGAAACCCTCATGCATTGCTGGAAGCAGTGTAGACACCAGCAGCCATTCTACAAATAAATCTGACAGTACCTGGTCAAACCAGGTCATATCCTATGACGACAGCAATTCTGTGGCATATATATTCCCTGATCTCACCAAAGTTTCAAACACATAAGAGGGCATGTGTGGGGATGTTCACTGCAACATTATCTGTGGTGTCAGAGATGTTGGTACTCTGGGTTCCCATCACTGTGAGGTGGAGTGGTAAGGTACGGTAGATGTACATGGTGAGGTATTACATAGCAGAAGACGTGACATGTGCGTGAATCTTAAAAACATAGTTCTGAGTGAAAAGTAAGAAAAACTATTGAATCTAACATATAAGTTAAAAATGCAGGCTCATGAAGCAACAGTCGTGACATGTGCGTGAATCTTAAAAACATAGTTCTGAGTGAAAAGTAAGAAAAACTATTGAACCTAACATATAAGTTAAAAATGCAGGCTCATGAAGCAACAGTATGTATTTTACAGATACTAACAAAAGGATACACATACACTAATGAAAACATATGAAGGCTGATGGTGGGAATGGGAATAAAAGGGAATAAATAAAATTCTATATTGTGGTGTTGACAAGTAAAATGCACTCTGGTCACACTGAGAGGTAGGCTTCCCTCCCTGCAATACTCTCCAGTATCTGGCCCTAATCCTGTCTCTGCATTTACCAGCAATACCCAGGTTCTCCCTGCATGACCAGGGCAGCAACCAGGGACAGCTGGGTGTCTGAGGGGCCCACACAGCCTCCCTCAGCCCTATCCTCCTATGGACATGGTGGTCCCAGAATGAGAGAGGCCGTTTGGTAGCCCTAATCCTTTAGTTTAACTTCTGGGTGTACTTTGTGTCTCCATGGACACAGCAAAGAGACTCATTAATTTGGGGTCCCTGCCTTTCTGACCAGTTGAGCTGTTTCAGTGGGATGAGACACTTACAGTCTCTTACCTGTAGCTCCTCTCTCTGTGAATGAGCCCTCTTCCAAGGATGGAGATCACACAATCCTTCATGGGAGCATCTAGGGAGTTATGGATACTGACCAAGGCCGTGAGAGGTCGATATTGCTCTGCTTCGTTTGGCATCTGTGGGAAGAGGAAACACCTGGAGAGGATGCCAAGGCCACAGAGCTGCAGTCCCTCCCTCCCTCCTGCCCACCCTTGCAACCCTCCTCAGTTACTCTCCTCATCTCAACCAAACTGACCCAACTCCACAGCTGACTTCTTTAGACCTCTACCTGATCTTCCTGCATTTACTCTCACCCTTGACCCATCACTGACAAGCTCTGATGGTGCCTCTTCTCTGCTTAGAAACCTTGGAGTGTTTCTTATTGTCACTGGAATTCAGCTTAGGTTGCATTCAAGATCCTTCACAGTCTGTCTCTAACCCATCTCTCCAGCCTCACCTGTTTTTCCCTTGATAAATGACATCCTAGCACATCAGGGACTTTACCATCCCCAGCACATCCCTCAAGCTCTCTTCCTTTGCACCTCTTTGTTCAGTCTTCTTCTGCCCATAGTGGCTGTCTCCTACCTCCACACTGAAAGTATACCCATTTTTCAAGGACTAGCATAAATGTCACCTGCTTCATAAAGTTGTCCCCAAACCCACCAGCTGGAATTAATCCCCCTTACTTCACCTATCCCATAGTAACTTTGTACCTCTATTAAAGCACTTACATAAAAGACCAAGTGTGGTGTCTCCCTTATCAATATAACGTCTTCGAAGGCAGGAACCAGCTCTCATTCATTTGGTCAGGGTAACATGTGGAAAGAGTGCTAGACTCAACTTCCTATCTAGGATCTTCGGCATGTTGCTCTCTAGGATTCAGTTTCCTCATCTGAATAATGGGAACAGTTCTACCTCACAGGGCTTTTGTATTAAAATAAATAAAGGAGCTGAAAATACTTCGGCATATGTGGTAAAGTGCTAAGGAAACGTAGGCTATTATTATCCCTAAAACTATGGGGGCAGCAACTGGGAAGGCCCTGATTTTAGAAACCTTAACGAACTAAAGAAGCTGGAAGATTTAAACCTTAACAATTTAATAATTTAAGAAGCCATCTCTTTCAAGAGAAGGAGCTCTCAAACCTAGCATTTTCTGGTAATCCTCCAGCATGGTCATCTACTCAGATTCCTTCCAAAATGGGGGCCTGAATTGCACATGAGAGCAATTCAGGGAAGGACTGGCACCTACCTCGATAGAAAGATGTGGTCTACGAATGGCGATGTCTTCCTGAGCAAAGCAGCTAAGTCTGGACTCAGAGTGCGTTGCCATGGCAGTGAGTCTGAGGAAGCAGTTCTCAGGTGGGTTTCGCTCAAAATGGGAGAAGGACAGGCTGGTAGTTATTCTCTTAACTGAAACACATGACAGGCAGAGTCAGTGTGTATCACAGAAACTTGCCATAGTTACACACACAATGCAAAGAACACAGGGTTTCACTGAGGCCAGAAGGATGCCTCGGTCCCCACAGCAGCTACAAATGTTGAAATTACCCAAGACCCCACTCCCCACCTCCCACCCCCATTACCACCTCCACCACCACTCTTGGCAGACATCTCAATGTGATTGTGGAAAGGTCCCTGTGAACTGTAATAAGTTAAGCTCTTTTAGCCTCAATGTCTTCATCTAATAATAGTGCCTGTCCAGTGAGATGGTTTGTGTTAAATGAGATATGGCAAATGAACCCGCCACATAGTAGTTGCCAAATATATGCTTGCTTAGCTCCTTCCCAGTCTCTGCTGCTGCTCCTTTTGCAGAGAAAATGAAGCCATCAAGTAGTAATCCTCCCAAGCTCAGGTTCCCATTCCCAGCCTACAGACATAGACATCTATTCTTGCTATCACCCCTCGTGGGGGATGAAGTGTCCCCACCACCCCAAGTTGAGTCCTCTGCTTTTAATATCTATGTTCCATCCTGACCCCCACCCCACCCCCACCGACTAGCTGTGTAACCTTGGGCAAATTATTTAACCTCGCTGTGTCTCGGTCTCCTCATCTATAAAGTGGGGCTACAGTAATCGTTCTTGCCCAAGTTGAGTCCTCTGCTTTTAATATCTATGTTCCATCCTGACCCCCACCCCACCCCCACCTACTAGCTGTGTAACCTTGGGCAAATTATTTAACCTCGCTGTGTCTCGGTCTCCTCATCTATAAAGTGGGGCTACAGTAATCGTTCTTGTCTCATGAGGTTTTTGTGAGGATTAATGAGATGATGCATATAAAGCAATTAGTACAATTTTTGGCAAATACAAAGTGCTCAATAAATATGAATAAATATAATTATCCTTCTTTTCTCTCATTTCCTCAGGGATTGTACCATCAGTTACAGCCCATCTCTTCCAAGGCCTCAGTCTTTCCCTCTATGCTGGTTATTTTCCTCAGCATGTAAGCAGATTCAGCTCTCTCTCATTTAAAAAAAAATACAACATGCTTCCTCTCCCCAGTGTCCCTGGGTGACTGCCACCCAGCCTCTCCCTTTCCCCTTCATGCTTCCAGGAAGGGCTGCACTGCTTATCTCACCCCCTCAGCTCAGTTGGTTTAACCCCTGGGAAACTGGTCTTCACTGTTGCTTCTCAGTAAGGCCACTCTCTCAATGGACAATTTTCAGCGTTGGCATCGTGTGACCTCTCCGCAGACCTTGCTGGGTGCCCCCTCCCTCCCTTTGACTTCTCAGTCTCCCTTACTCTCTGCTCTTTCCCTAACTGCCCTCTAAATGCTAGTGCTGCCCCGTTCCCCCTCACCCTCTCATTTTCTCATGGTCTTTCTGCCCACTTCCATAAGCGCATCCTGCTCTGACTCTTGGCTGCCCCCTCTGTCCTGGGATTTCCACATCTGATCTCCAGCCCAGGCCTTTATCTTGAATACCAGGTCTAGGTTTCCAGCTCCCCACTGGTGGTCTTTGCTTGGATGTTTCATGGGCTTTAAGGCACAATGCCCCACAACCGAATTCATCATCTTTCTCCCCAAACCTGCTCTTCCCCATTTTCCCTACTCTGGTGACTCACACAAGTCAGAAGCCACCCTCCCCCCATTCATAAGTGCAATCTGTCCCACCTCCTTAATTTGTCTAATTGTTGCTAGCTTAGATTGGCCTTCATTTCTTGACTTGATTATTACAAAACCTTCCAACCTCTAATCCAGTGGTTCTCAACATTGGGTACACATTAGAATCCCATGGGGAGCTTTATAAATAATCTTAATGCTAGGCCACACCCCAAATCAATTATATCAGACTCTGGCAGTGAGGCCTAGGCATCAGTATTTTTTTTTCCTTTTTGTCTTTTTTCGTGACTGGTAACGGGATCGCAACCTTCGGTGTCGCGCCCACACTGCGCTCAACCAGTGAGCGGACCGGTCTCTATATGGGATCCGAACCCTTGGCAGGAGCGCCGCACTCTACCGAGTGCGCCACCGGGCCGGCCCAGGCATCAGTATTTTTAAAGTTCCCCAAGTGACTCAATGTGCAGCCAAGGTTAGAAACTACTACTTTGATATACCCCTTCCATTCTGTACTTTCAAAATTTCTTTCTTTTTAAAATGGATTTCTGATCCCATTGACTCCCTTTCCCATTATTCAGAGAACAAAACTCAAACTCCTTAGCATGATTTATAAGACCCTCCATGACCGTGCCCTGCCTAGCTCTCCTGCCAGTCCCCCCAAACCACTCCTCCCATGCTTGGAAAGGAAGTGATGATGCAGAGACTGGAGGCAGGGGGACCGGATAGCAGGCTGTTGCAATCCTGTAGACAAGCTCTAGTCCACTGATTCTCAGACTTGCCTGGGCATTACAACTACCTGAGGACTTAAAAAAATTCTGATGTTTGTGTCCCACTATGGAGTTTTTGATTTAACTGCCTGGGATGCAGGCTGAGCATCAAATTTCCCTGGGTGATTCTAATATGCAGCAAAGTTTGAGAACAATTACTGTAGTTCAGGGAGCTTTTAAAAAATATCTGTACCTGGACTCTATCCCAAACTAATTAAAGAAGAATCTCAGGGAGGAGGTAGGACGTGTGCACATGTTGTTCCTTCTGTCTGGAATGCCTGAGACTCATTTTTGTGTCCATCACTCTCCTACTCATCCTTCAGGACTCAGTGCAGTATGATTAATTGGGGACAGGCCGCTTCAGCCTGGGTGAGATACTCTCCTGCCTTTGTACTCTGTTTACCTCATCAAATGCTTCTTACACTGCTCTGATGGGTCTGTATACTTATCTGCCTGCAGTTGGAATTGTGGGGTTCTTTTTCCCCTGTGTCAGATCCAATAAATATATCCTGAAAGAGAGAGAGAGAGAGCGCACAAGCACCAGGGGCTAAAAGCCTTCTCTGGAGACCTGCAGGGGGTGCCCTGTGACTGCTGCCTGCCTGCCCAGGGCAGAAGCCGGGTATGTGGGGGGTTGTCTGCAGGGGTGTCTGGCGGGGCTGTAGAGGGTGTTACCCAGGTTGGAGCTGAGTGTGAGGGGCAGCTTCTCCTTCCAGAGCTCAGCAGCGAGGACACCATTGTAGGACACAGCCTGGACCCCAATTGCCAGCTGCACCAACTTCTCCTGGTCGCTGGAGTTAACCAAGGTCACTGAGAGCTGGGCATCCCCTCTCAGGGGAAGGGAGGTAGGGGCTTCCAAGAATAGGTACAGAGGATCAGCAGACTCAAGACTGGGAGGATGGATGCCATTGTCTTTCCCGAGTTCCATTCTCCATTTCTGGACTCTCTCCAGCACTTCTTTTTCTTGAAGAGATCCTGAAGAATGGAAGAAACAAAGCACACTTCTTACCCAGCAGGTGTAGACTCCTTTAATAAAAGCCCAGGATTAAAATTCATTTACCCACTTCTACTCAAATGCCAAAGTCACAGGAGCTTTGCAAAACTCTAAGGCCAAGTTTAGTCCTAAAAAGTCTGTGTGAGGCACATCCACCACAGATACAGCCTGTCTCTTCCAAGCCTCTCAATAGCCAAGTTCTTCTCCAAGTGCTATGAATTTGTCCCTTGAATGATGAAAAAAGAAGCTTTGGGACAAGTCAACACTGTCTCTGAGGACAGTTTTGTAGGGAGCTGAATCTTCCTTTGTGAAGGAATTTGGACTTATTCCAAGGGCAATGGGGGCCATGGAATATTCTGAAGCAGGGGAGCAACATAATGACATTTGTGTCTTAGAAAGCTCATCTGGAAACTGAAAGTTGGGAGGGGAACAACGATGATGGAGAGACTGGAGGCAGGGGTGCAACTAGCAGGCTGTTGCAATACTGTCAGCAGGAGGTAAGGACCTGGATTAACTACAGGCCATGGGGCAAGAGATCAGGGGACAGATGTGAGAACAGTGTGGGGCAGTGGAGGGGGAAGACTCCAGGGTGGTGCAAGCCTTCTTGTTTGGACCAAGAGTTGGATGGTGGTGCCATTAACTAATATGGAGAAATAGGTTGGGGGGTGTTGGAGGAGATGGGGATAGGAGCAACATCAGAAGCCTTCTGGCAGCTGGGCTTGGTATTAAGTGTACTGTTTTATAGAAGTAGTTCTCAATCAGGGGGCAATTTGCCTCACGAGGGACATTTGGAAATGTCTGGAGATGTTTTTGGTTGTAAAACTGGTGGTGGTGGTGAGGTGCTGGCATCTCATGGTCAGGAGGAATGCTGCCAAGCAGCCCTCCACAACAAAGAGATATCTGGCCCCAATGTTAACAGTGACAAACAGTGTTGAGAAACCTTGTTCTATGTGATGGGGAAAGGCTTGGCACTCTTTTTGGCCTGCGTCTGTCTGGCCCATCCCTTCCCCTTGTTTGCCGTTTCAGGTACTGAGAAGCGTGCGTAAATTCCCTGGTCAGTACCTTCAGGATACTTGTAGTTCTGAGTGATGTCCTCACAGCGGTCACTGCCCACACCCTTGGTGCTGATGCTATTGCCAACAAACTTTGTGTTGGAGTCAGTCAGCTCCAGTGACCCATCCTCACAGCACTTCCAGACCACACACGAGGCATTTACTGCAGCAAAGAGATCTGATACTGCAGGGCTCAGCTCCAGTGTCCCCTCCTTGACTGCTTTGACTGGGACCAGATCACAGGACCCCAGGACTGAGAGAGAGAAAGGTTGATGAGCAAGGGAACCATGATCAGACATAGTTGTGTAAGCTCAGTTCAGAGATGCAAAATCTCAGTCCCCATCCTATACCCTATTTTCCTTCCCCCAGGATCAAGGTCAGAGGTGGGCTCTAGGCAGGGTTTCTGAGTATCACAGAGGCAAAACTCTCTACTATTTAGTGATAATGGTTTTTGGTCATGGCCTGTGGCAGGATCCCTCCCAGGAAATGGACAAGTAGAACCCCAAAGGAACATACTTAGCACACAGGGGTTCCCAAGCCAGCTTTACCACGTACATGACAGGACTAGATCACCTTTCTTGAGCACTTACTATGTGCCAGGAACTGTGACCATTCTGTTTCTGGGTGAGGAAGAGCCATCCTCTGATGGCTCCTGAATTTTCCTTCTCTGGGCTGGAGCCTATCCTGAGTCCCTCTTCATCCACAGCTAGAACCTCAGAAGTCCCACCCTGCAAGCCCCTGACCTAGCACAACCAACAGCCATCTAAAAACCCTCTGTCCTTCCCTGAGACTCACCACCCTCACCTGTTACTCTAAGGTGGGCCTAGTCTCCCCATGGCCTTGAGGTCAGGGTGGCTGACACCTTTATTCCCTTGAGCCTGGCATCAGGTCAGCATTCTGCTGGCCACTATCATTCCTTCCGCTTTTCCTGTTTTAGAGACTGCAGACCCCCTTTGGATTGCCTGCTGCTCCTGACATGACAGGAAGGACTCCTGCTCTTGCAGCTCTGTGCACCCCTGGGTGGTCCTGGGCCAACCCCTAGGCTTTACCTCCACTTCCATTAGGAGCTCTTGAATATAGAATCTGCCATCCATCATAACCCTGGGGCAAAGCAGGCTGGGTCATCCAGCACTCTGTGGAAGTCTGGAAGATCCTGAGTGTAGCAAAGGGAAAAAATTCAAGTGGGAAAGGAGTGCTGAAGAGGTTCTAGAAATGCAGCTTGGCAGAGTTGTCATTACCTTGGGGATGGAAGGACATTGTGTAAGTGTGCTGCAACCCTCCCAGGAAGGGGCGCGCATACCACCACTGACCATCAGCCCCTGCCTCCAAGAGTCTCAAAGTGCCAGTGGCACTTGGGGTGTGGGGGTTCCCATGAGGTCATACCACAGAGATTTGGGGCCCTTTCTGCTTTGGAATATCATCTGCTTTGGGCTTCTCACCAGATTCTGCCTCTCTGGCTTTCTCCGTTCAGAAGCCCCTCCTCACTGTAGTACTCATCTACAAGCAGGCCCCCACCGGTTCCCTGGGCTGAGGAGAACGTGGTAACGACGCGGGCAGGGATTCCCAGGCAGCGCAGCACTGCAGAGAAGAGGGCCGAGTATCAGAGAGTGCCAGAGAGACAGGGGTGTGTGTGTGCGTGTGCGCGTGCGGCTAGAATTTCAGTGTCTCCTCCAGGCAGGCTCTGTCTTAAATGTCAGATAGCATTGTGGAAAGAGGAGGTCTACAGGCACTGTACAGGCTACAGGAAGTTAGAACTGACACCCAAGAACAGGACACATAAAGGCTGATAAATAAGGTAGAACAAGTCACACAGTACGCAGAGCATATAGCATATGGATGGTTACAGAACCATGGGACAGAACACTGTGGGCTTGCTCTGTTGGGGCAGGGTTAGGGAAAGTTTCAGGGAGAAAGAGAATTCGAGGCCAGAATTTGAAAATGGGTCCAAAGAAGCAGAAGCTGATGGGGAGGAGCTGCTGGGACAAGGAGCTGGTTTCTTGGCTAGAAGGTGCATCTGAACCAGTTATGGGTGTGATGAAGGTGGGGAAATGCTGTGGAGTGGAGGCAGCGCCTGTGTTTGGAGTGGTCCCTCCCACATGGGAAGCCAAGGGACAACACAAGAGGCAGGGCAGACACTCTATACAGTAATACAGGTGACTGACCTCTGCACCACCAGCTCTGTACCTGTGCAAGCAACAGCGGCCATCACCCAGGCCTGGCCCTCATGCACCGGCCGCCCTTGGCCAGTGAGCCACTGCCGCAGGATGGGCACGCTGCCCCGGCGCTTGTTCAGCAAGGCCCCTTCCTGAGCAACCTGGGTCTGTGGGGTGGGCAGGACACTCCTCTCCTTGAGAGCATGCAGCTGTTGGGGGAAATGTGCAGGTGTCAGTATGAGTGCCTCAGGCAGAACAGCTTCCTGATGGGTAAGGAGGGCCGATCACAGTTCTCCAGGCATGGTGAAAGATCTCTGGTACTTGTTAAACTTGCATGCTCCTGCACTCCATCCTAGGCCTACCAGGTTATAATCTCTAAGGCTGGGCCCAGGTCTCCTCCTTAACAAGTCCTCCAGCTTGAGCCACAAAGAGGAGCAAGAAAGCGGCCCCTCATTGGGAGCTGGTTTCACTGGTCCTTAGCTTTCCCAACCCAACTCCTTAGAGCAGGTTTGCACCTGGGGCCTGGAGGCCACTTATCTCAAGCTTCCTCCTACTCACAGGCTGGCCTTGACCCTCACCATCTCTTTAGAGGGGTCTTCACAGGCACAAGAGGAAATGGGGAGCACACTACTCCTCTAGAAAGAACTTTTAGGGACAAGGGAGAGCACCAAGCTACCTTCAGGGTCTGCATATTCTTAGGAATAATTTAGAAATAAAAACAAGTCCCTTTGATCACTGTAGCAGCAAGAACTGGGTAAGAAGGACCCTACCTCTCCACCCCAGGGTCCTAGGCTTCCATGTAGGGGGCAGGGAGAGGGAGCAGGTGGGAGCAGTGCTCTGAGGAAATCCAGACCAGTTGTAGTCCTCAGCTGGCTTTTGTCCTGAGGGATGATACCTTCCTGCTCTTCTCACCAGATGGGTACTTTTGCCTGTCCTTGTCCCCTCCTCATTCAGACCCTTCTCTAGGCACTGTCCTTGACACCCTGGGAGGAGGACACTGCTTGTGATTTGAGGATTTTCAGGGCTATAGATGTGGGGCGGGGAAGGTCCATCAGGGGACTCTTGTCCCATCTCCTCCCCACTCTGGCTCCCCCACCTCTCTCTCACCAAGGCGCCCAACACACGGGCCACGTGCACGGGCCGGCTCCACTCCTCCACCTCCTTGTCCATGCTCAGCAAGCGCAGGCTGAGGTTCACGACATCGCCCTCAAACTGTAAGGACCACACGGGGGCATGGTGAAAGGCTTCCAGGACAGGCAGTCATCCCGCAGGACAGCCCCATCCTCTTGTCATTCTCCCAGACTCAGGCTCCACACCTTCCTCCCTTGCCTCATTGTCCCCCATGGGAATTCTGGCTTTTCCCTCCCTCCCACTGTGCCTCCTGGTCCCTGTGCCCAGGTACCCAGTCATTTGTTGTCTGACTCTCCAACAGGGTATGAGCCACTGAGGACAAGCACTGTGTCGTTTCATGAGCTCCTACTGCTCCTCCCAGCACCTAACCGGTATGGAGGATACGAGGCAGCTCCTGCTCTTGAGGAGCCTGCAGTTTAGAACTGGAGATGGACGTGGAGTCCCTTAGATTACAGATCACAGCAAAGTGGCCAGGGCTCTAGCAGAGAAGGCAACACAGAGCAGGAGCACAGTGGAGAGACTCCCTCTGCCTTGGGGTGTTGGGGAAAGCTTCCCAAAAGTCTTAAGAGATGGATAGGAGTTTGCCAGGGCATAAAGGGGGGAAGCTGCTCCAGGCAGAGGGAACGTTCAGTCTGCATGCTCCAGGGATGGTGAGCTGGAGCATGGGGTGGCTTGTGGGGTAAGGAAAGCAGTTGTCCAGCTGGAAGGGCCTTGGATGTCAAGCCAGGGAATACAGTCTTTATCCTGTCAACAGCAGGGATTTGACAGAGGCTTGATTTACCACAGTTTTTAGAAAGATAACTCTGGTAGCTGTGGAGGGTGGTCTGATGTGGCCCCGAGGAAATGGAAGCACCACCGGGCTGAAATGGGCTAAAGAAATAGCCTCATGACCAGGGGCTTTTGGACTTGCTAGTTCTGTCTGGCCTGAACATTGAAGGTTATGGAACAGTCACTGTCCTGCCTCGTCCCCTAGAAGTCTCAGTACCTGGCCAAAGTCCCAGGGCTCTTCCTGGATGCAGTCAGCGGTGCCCAGGTAAATGAGGCCATCCTGGTTCAACAAATACTCCCTGCGTTCAGCTTCCTTCTCCAGGAACACAGCATCCTCTGGCAAGAAGCGGGTGGGGATGAGGGCCTGTAGGGTACTAGGCCCGCCCTCCTTGTCCAGGCCTCAGCACCCCCTGCCCAGGTCAGGTTTGGCTGCAGGCTTTCCCTTCAGCTCTGGGCCTAATAAGTCCCTCTTTCACTGCTCCCACTGGGACCTGGCCCAGAGCCCCTGGGTCAGTCAGGGTGTGGCCTTCATGGTCAGGCAGGCCGACAGGAACAAACCAACCTTAAAAAGCCTGGTGATTCCCAGAAGACATTTGCAGCCAGAGCACTATCAGCCCAAGAGAAACTGGCAACAGCCTAAGGAGCTCCCCAGTGGCCTGTTATGTCTCACCCACAAGTTCAATTTGTGACCCCCAAAAAATGTTTCACAAAGACAATCAAGCCTAGGTTAACAGGCGTGAGCAGAAGGAAGAGGAGCATTTGGCAAGACAGGGTTGGGAAGAGCAGAGGGACTGGAGAGTGAAAGTAGGAGCGCTGGATTTCTGCCCTGGGGGTGTCCCAGGGCAGAAATGGGTCTAGAACTCCCTTTCCTCACCCAAGGGTTGGGCTGGGCATCATAAGGGGGGCGACTTTTAAGGAGGCCATCACCCACTCTAAGAACCTGGGAGCGGAGGGGAGAAGTGCCTATTTCTCTGACCTGGTGGCGCAAGTAGAGAGGGGGTTGGTTAGATTAGTTCCTTGAAAGAGAAAAAGATTTCCAAACCATCCAGAGGAGCCACTGGGCTATATCTCTCCATGGCCCTTCAGGCATCCAGCTGGGATGAGGGTACTTGAAGCAACAGAAGGATAGGATATTAGAAATCAGGAATCCCTGAAAAATCTGGGGCCCAACGCCACAGAATTGTGTGCCCAAGGAGCCCTCAACTCCTGCCCTCCCATCCTGAATACTCTCTGTGAGGTCAGCTAGACATCACTTCTTTGGAAGTCACTTCAAACTGAGGTGTTTGGCCTCAGGATCTACAGGGCTCTGGGGAGTACCTCATGAGAACACCAGTAGTACCACCTTCCTCTTCTCCACTTGGGCGCAGCCTTTTACAAAGCTCCTGGCCTGTGGGTAGGGCTCTGACTTCCATTATATGATGTAAAATTTCCCTTTGAATTCAGGAGAGCCCCATCCCCAAGTATGCTGTGATGAGACTGAGATGCCAGAGAATCTCTGACAATCTCTCAATCACTTCCCAAATGAGCAGTGCCAACTACCCACTCCTCCCAGATAAGCACTTCCACAACTCTCCCATAGAGACATTCCCTGGGCAGTCCCTACAAACTGAGCATGAAGACAGGACTCCTCACAATGGAGTCAAAACTGTGGGTTCCCTCTGAACCCAGCACTGTCCTGGAACTGTCTTTGCGGGGTCTCTACTCTGGCCACCAGGGCCTGGCTCTGGATGTGGAGTCAGAGTCAGCCAGGGGGTACACCAAAGTCTCAGCTTTGGTGAGAAATAGCTTGAAGGTCTTTCAGCAGAATGTGGAGAGCCTTGGGGCCTCTACTGGCTGAATCAGGGCCCTGAATCCACCTTCACCCACATGGGCGGCCAGGCACACCTGCATGGACACTAGTTCCCATCTATTGCTCCACCTGCCTCCTCCCTTGGAGTAGGAAAGAAAGGCCTGAGCTGCGGAAGGCAGGGCCATCTGAAGTGGGGGTAGGATTGGTGGTGGGGATTGGAGAACCCCACCCTGGACAAGAGAATTAGAGAGAGAGAGGCCACTTGGATTCAGGTGCCACGGAGAAATGCAGTTAGAAACTGGGGTCCAGGCATGGTGCCATAGGAACCTGGTGAGATTCTTTTACATCCCTGTGTTTCATCCAGTTTCCCAGCCCTGCCTTGTAATGTGGCCCCTTCAGGCTGGCAGAGAAACTCTTGAAAGGAAAAGGGCTATGCACTTGTTGTCTGGTGTCTCAAGGACAGGAACGCCTGGAGAAACTGTTTTACATTCTCCCATCAACTGCTCAAGGAGCCCAAAGGATTAAGGTGGGTGTGGCAGATTTAAGAAGGAAAGATGGACTCCATCTTTAGAATGGGAAGGAAGAGAAGATGCCCCACTATGTCCTATTTTGGGCAAATCAAGCAAGTCTGATGGCCCTTTCGAGATGAAATAGCCCCAGCCACAGCTAGGGCTGAGCTTTGCCAGAGGTGGCCACTAGGGCCACGAGAGTTCACCTGACCCTAAGGAAGTCCACTATAGGCTGGCTGAGCAATAGGGCTCAGGTCAATATGGAAAGCACCCAGCAATCTGCAGTAAGAACAGAACAAACAGGTGGAGAGAGGCAAAGATAGCAAACCAGGGTAGATTTACTGTGAAGTTGATGAAGACAAAGCTTGGGGACCCTCATTAACACAGAACCCCTCAGGCTCTGGTGGGTGCCTTAGCAATTCAAAATTTTTTACTTTGTATTCTAGGTCCACCAAATTACATAAGCTTCAGGGCCCACAAAACCTGAATGCACCCTGGAAACAGACTAGGGGAGACCCAAGAGACAGAAAAGCCCATCCCTCAAGCCACCTCATTCCTGGAGCCCTTTCCAGTTCTCACCTTTGTACCATTACAATAAAGGATAGCTTTCCTGGGGCCATCTCAGTGAGTCTCAACTCCTGTGACCAAAACACCCTGAACCAACACCAGGGTTTGGTGGTGAGGCAAGCCTTCACTTTCAGTGGGAAGCCCCAGACTGCTTCTGCCATGTGTGACACCAAGACAGGACCTTGGGTCTGAGAGCCTGCTCATCCAGGGATAAAGTGCCAGCAGTATCTGAGTGCTGGTGCTGCCCTTAGAGGGAGCTGTGCACAGGGGTCTGGAGCAGGAGCTCCCTGACAGAGCTGTGCCCCAGCTCCAGTACCTTGAGTCCCTGTGCAGCCCAGGCTGGCACAGGTCCAAACTTACCTCTACTCCAAGGGTTAAAGAGCAGTGTGAACTGACCCAAGAGGTGTTCCTTCCTTCCTGAGACCTGCAGCAGGAGCGAGTAGTGGCCAATGACAGCATCTGCAGGTGTGGTCATAGAGATGGTCCAGGACTGGGCATCTCTCTTCTCCACCACTGCACTCCACCACTTTCGGTCCCCCAAACTGGAGATTGGGAATGTGGCTTGGGTCTTGTTGGTCTTAGAAGGCTGCTCTCCTGCAGTCACACAGTTATGAATTGGTCATTTGGACTTCTTGGTCACAACTCAGAGTAAAGTCAGGGTATTACAGAGGTGGAGCAGGTGAAAATTGGTTTTGAAGGAGAATAAAGGAGGCACATCCAGTGATGGGGAGCAGTGAAGGGTGATGGGAGAGCACAGGCTCTCAGCATCCATGGACCTACATCTATAATAGTACCTGCTTCTCAGGGGCGAGGTGAGGACTGAGTGAGATATTGCATGTGAAGACTTGGCCCAATACCTGGCATGTAGTATGGATTCAATAAACAATAGCAATTAAATGTTATATTCAGCCTGGATTAGATCCCATCCAAGGTTTTTCACAAAGCTGATATATTTGCAACCTGAAGGAACCCCACAGTGATGCTGCTGAGCAACTTCTGAGTCATAATAAGCAGTATTTATTTTGCACATTATCTTGTGTCATCCTCACAACAGCCCTGTCGGGTGGGCAGGACTCCTTAACGCCCAGTGACAGTGTAGGCCATTTGCCCCTTGGTTCCCTGACAGGGTGCTGGAGAAAGAACCCCCACCCGCCACCCACCCAGTCCTGCTACCAAAGGGGTCTGTCCCACTTACCAGTTTGTGCAATGAGGGCCACCTTCTTCAGAGTAGGCAGAAATGTGCGGACTGGAGCACGGAAGTGCAGGATGACGCTGAAGGGCTGTCCCCTCCTCACGATGAGGCGTTGGGAGCTGATGGCCTTGGTGTGGTGCTCCTCATTGTTTCTTGCTGCCTGGAAGTCACAGCTCTTGATACCCAGGGCTATTGTGGAAAAGAGAGAAATCATAGAGGCTAGGTAAATGTGACAACATAAGTAAAAGCAGAGATTCTGGTGTCAGAGAGACTAGGCTTCAAATCCTCGGCTCGACTTATTAGCTATGCAACCTCAGGCAAATAACTTTATCACTCTGAGCCTCAGTTTCCTTTTCCTTAAAATAATCACCCCTCCTTGCTGAGTTGTGGGAATTAGATGAAGTAATGTATATAATACACTTAGCACACTGACAGACACATAGTAAGTCCTATTAAATGGGATTGTTGTTATTATTACTTTTTCTTTTTAAAAATTTTAATTGACACGTCATAATTATACATACTCATGGGGTATAATCTGATGTTTTGATACATACATATGTTGTATGATAATCAGGTTAGGGTAGTTAATGTATCAATCACCTCATACAGTTATCATTTCTTTATGGCAAAAACATTCAAAATCTTCTACTCCAGCTATTATTAATATACAAAACTTAATTGTTAACCATAGTCATCCTACCGTGCAATAGAATATCAGAAGTTATTCCTCCTAACTGAATTTTGTACCTGTTGGCCAACATCTCCTTATTTTCCTCCCCCACCTTCCCGAATCTCTTGTAACTACTGTTCTACTTTTTGCCTCTATAATATCAACATTATTTTTTAGATTCCACAAGTGAGTGAGGTTATTTGTCTTTCTGTGCCTGGCTTACTTCACTTAATATAATGTCTTCTGAGTCCTTCCATGTTGCCACAAATGACAGGGTCCTCCTAACTGAATTTTGTACCTGTTGGCCAACATCTCCTTATTTTCCTCCCCCACCTTCCCCAATCTCTTGTAACTACTGTTCTACTTTTTGCCTCTATAATATCAACATTGTTTTTTAGATTCCACAAGTGAGTGAGGTCATTTGTCTTTCTGTGCCTGGCTTACTTCACTTAATATAATGTCTTCTGAGTCCTTCCATGTTGCCACAAATGACAGGGCTTCACTCTTTTTTATGGCTGAATAGTATTCCACTGTGTATATATACATTTAGAAAATCTACTCGTCTGTTGTTCGACACTTAGGTTGATTCTACATCTTGGCTATTGTAAATTGTGCTGCAATAAACATGGGAGCACAGATATCTCTTTGACATACTGACTTCATTTCCTTTGGGTATATACCCTGTAGTGGGATTGCTGGATCACATGGTAATTCTTTTTAATTTTTTGAGGAACCTCCATACTATATTCTATGGCTGTGCTAGTTTACATTTCTAGCCAGCAGTGTGCAAGTGTTCCTTTTTCTCCACATCCTTGCCAACACTTGTCTTCTTTTGTCATTTTGATAACAGCCGTTCTAACTGGAGTGGTATCTTACTGTAGTTTTGATTTGCATTTCCCTGATGATTAGTTATGTTGAGCATTTTTTCATATGCCTGTTGGCCATTTGTATGTCTTCTTTTGAGAAATGTCTATTAAGGTCCTTTGCCCATTTCTCAATGGGATTACGTGTGGGCTTCTTTCGTGGTCAGATTAAGTTCCTTTTATATTCTTGATATTGATACCTAGTCAGATGCATAGTTTGCAAATATTTTCTCTCATTCTGTAAGTTGTTTCTTTACTCTGTTGACAGTTTCCTTTGATGTGCAAAAGCTTTATAGTTTGATGCCATCCCACTTGTCTATTTTCGTTTTTATTGCTTATCCTTTTGAAGTCTTATTTAAAAATTCCTTGGCCAGCCACATGTCATGGATTATTTCCCCTATGTTTTCTCCTAGTAGTTACATAGTTTTGGGTTTTACATTTAAATCTTTAATCCATTTTGATTTTTTTTAAACCAGCGAGCAGGAACCGGTCTGTATGTGGGATCCGAACCCTTGGCGGGAGCGCCGCCGCGCTTCCCAAGCGGTGCACTAGCACAGTGCGCCACCGGGCCGGCCTTTAATCCATTTTGAGTTGATTTTTGTATATGATGTGCAGTGGGGGTCTATTCTCATTCTTCTGCATGTGTATATTCAGTTTTCCCAGCACTATTTATTGAATAGACTATCTTTTCCATAATATGTATTCTTGGCCCCTTTGTCAAAATCAGTTGTATATAGGTGCATAAATTTATTTCTGGATTCTTTATCTTTTTTCCATTGGGTCATGTGTCTGTTTTTATGCTGGTACCATGCTGTTTTGGTTACTATAGCTTTGTAGTATAATTTGAAGTCAGGTAGTGTGATGCCTCCAGGTTTGTTCATTTTTCTCAGGATTCCTTTGGCTATTCAGGGTCTTTTGGGGTTCCATATGAATTTTAGGGTTTTTTTTCTATTTCTGTGAAGAATGTCATTGGTATTTTGATAAGGATTGCACTAAATCTGTAGATCGCTTTGGGTATAATGGCCATTTTAACAATATTAAATCTTCCAGTCCATGAACTTGTGGTATCTTTCCATTTATTTGTGTCCTCTTCAGCTTCTTTCTTCAAAGTTTTATAGTTTTCATTGTAGAGGTATTTCACTTCTTTGGTTAAGTTTATTCCTAAGTATCTTTTTTTTTTTTCTTTTTTGTAGTTACTGTAAAAGGAATTGTTTTCTTGATCTCTTTTTCAGATAGTTCACTATTAGTACATAGAAATGCTACTGACTTTGTTGTATGTTAATTCTGTGTCCTGCAGCTTCACTGAATTCATTTATTAGTTCTAACAGTTTTTTGGTGGAGTCTTTAGGGTTTTCTATATATAAGACCATGTCGTCTGCAAGCAGGGACAGTTCGACTTCCTGCTTTCCAGTTTGGATGCCTTTTATTTCTTTCTCTTGTCTAATTGCTCTGGCTAGAAGTACTATTCAGTACTATGTTGAATAGAAATGGTGAAAGCGGGCATCCTTGTCTTGTTCCTGATGTGAGAGAAAAAGCTTTCAACTTTTCCCCATTTGGTATAATATTAGCTATGGGTTCATCATATATGGCCTTTATTGTAAAGAAGTACATACCTTCTATACCTAGTTTGTTAAGAGTTTTTATCATGAAGGAAATTATTGCTGTTGTTATTGAGAACAATGCTTATTCTCATTGTTGACCTCCTTTTCTGGCCCCAATCCAAAAGCTGTGAATAAAACCCAGAATCTTGCTCACCACTACTCATTGTTTCTTAGAACACAATTAGATAATTTTTACAGGCAGTTTTGAGAAGACTGAGTCCAATTCTCTTGTTTTACAGATGAGAAGAGTGAGGCTAAGAGTGGAAACGACTCACCCAAGATCATGTGTGGCTCTTTGATGTAAAGGCTCACCATTCTCACTATGGAGCATAGAAAAGGAGCTGGCCCAAGAGTATTATGACAGCCTACCCATCAATTCTTATTTTACAGAGGGAGGAAAAAACAAGGAGCAGGGAAGTAAAAAGATATGCTCAACAAGCCCAAGATAAGGCACAATACTGGGAGGAAGAAAGTTTATTTCCTCTTGAAGCAAAGGAGTTGTGTATTTTTCATCCTTTGATGGCAGAAGGCCATTGGGACTCTCCTTGGTCTGAAAGGCAACTTGCATTTTTTGCACTGGCTCAGCTGCCAGGAGGGAAAAACTATGACTTTTGCTTTCAGGTATGAAAGCTGGTCTGACCTACTTCAGGGAAGTGATCTGACCCTGATGGCAAAGTCCTTTAGGTTCCAAGACATGTCTTGGCAAATTCAGGATACTTTTCCTTCAGATTTCCTCCTGTTCCTAACCTTTCTGGCTTAGAACTCAAGAGCAGAGGGGAATGATGAAGAAAGAAAGGGAAACATCCCACCTGCCCTATTCTTTCTTTCATCAGTGATAGAGATGATATAAGATTAGGACAATAGATACCCAATCAGTGTTTGCTTGATTCAACTGACATCATTGAATATGAAGAAATGTGAAAGCATGCGGAAGAGGGAAGAAACCTCCCTGCATATCTGGCCCTGGTGTCCCTAGGTGTCCCTTGTGCCCTTGTGTCCTCCCTTATCCACCAGTGGGTTGGTCAGGCCATAGCTATAGATAAAATAGCCACAGCAAGGCTGGGATTTGTAAATTGAGGTACAACAGCATTCAGAAACCAGAAAGAATTTCTCTCTGCTGCGCATGAAGCTGGTGCTGGAGCCCAGGATGAGCCCTGCCTCTGTGGACTGGTCGAGCTGGATTGGACAGTGGCATGGTGAGCTTCATGTCCAAAGGCATATGATTTGAGACTTGGTGTGTCTGGATCCACATAATGACATCAGTGTTATGGCAAGAGCCACTGTTCAGAATGCACTTGGACTCTGGTTCTGTCTGGAAGACTTCCCCAGCCTCTTTACTTGGCAAGTGCCTTCTCATCTTTTAAGATCCAAAGGCACCCTCCTGGGAAGCCTTCACTGCCACCTCCAGTTGGAAGTCGGTCCTCTGAGCTCCCACAGTACTCTGCCACACTCTTTTCAGCACTCACCCCATTTTATAGCTGTAATCTGCCTAATCCTCTACTGCCCTCTCACTGTGTTTTTTTCCTGTCTGCATCCCCTGCCCCAGCAATGCATAGACACAGTAGATACCCAGTCAGTGTTTGCTCAATCTGCTAGTGGTCAAGAACAGTGAGAGGGCCTTAAGGAGAGTTTCTTGGATGCACCACAGGGGACTCGGCCTACATCTGTGCTGCCGGAACTCTGCAGAAGCCCCTGAAGTTTCTGCGCCCTCTGGGACTCCCTGGTTTCTTGCTTTATGTCTTGCTCTGCCCCTTTTAGTTGGATTCCCTGACTCCTTCCTCCCCTTCTCTCCCACTCGGTTTTGAGGCTATGACACCCGCATGCTTTCTCAAGTTCTTCTATTTGTATTACAACCCAGTGAGAAGTCATGTTAACACAGAGATGCCAAATGGAATGCTCTTCAGAGATTTCTCTGATGTGCTCAGTATCCCACCCTCTTCCCCCTCTGTTTCTCACACCTAGCACTGCCTCATGTGGTGCTCTTCAAGCAATTATGTGCTGGCAAATATTTAACAACTGGCTTAGGGAGTGAGGAGAGGAAGAGTACTGATTCGTAGTATTTACCCATTTCTGTGGTATACATACTCCCACCATGGCCGATTTCAGGCTACTGATGTGATATCACTGAGTGCAGAATTGTGAAGAGGTGCAGAGTAACACACCATTATGTAGTTTTTCCACCATGCAGATATAATAGACATAAATACCCTCAAGAACATAAAGACAAAATGGAGTAAAATAATTAGGAAGCGGTGAGTTTAGAGTACTTATTACCTTTGTTTACAATATAATTTGTTTACTCGTAAATTTATGCAATTTAATTTTTAATAATGGTTGTGTTTAAGAACCGGTGCTCAAGATTCCTGAAAATTTAGCAATTTAGCCAGCACAGCCAGCTCCAGCACACCGCAACAGTGCAGCTAAGACTCAGTGGATCCCTTCTGGGGCTGGAAGCTGCTCTGCCACCTCCCGTCCAGAAAGAATTTGGTGCCCTGTGGTGTCCTCTGGTTTGGGACTAGACTTGATCTCCTGGTATCTTCAAATGTGTTCCTCTCAATGAGTATATCTTTAATTTGTCTGGGTCTCCGCAGAGCCAAAAGGATGACTTATTGGTGTGTCTGCCGTATTTTCACAAGACGTGACTGAGTGGATTGTCTGAATTCACCCAGAGTTTTTTTCCCCCCCTTTCAGGAGTTGGTCTCATGGGCAGTTGCCCTCCACGCACCGGACTGGTGGATTGGGGCCGGGGCATGAAGCAGTTTCCGTAGTGACTGAACCACAGCTGCTTCCCACTGTCCCCACAATCCCCTTCCCTCTGCCTACCCACTTTCTTCTCCCAGGACACAAGGGGGGCAGCAATTTCACAGGCCAGGAGAGCATACTCAGTTCCTGCCAGGATGCTCTGACTCTGATGACCTCTGCCTGTTGTTTTGCTTTATGTCCACCTCTGTCCCTTCTAGTTGGATTCCCTGATTCCTACCTCCCCTTCTCTCTCATTTGCCCTTGAGGCTATGACACCCTCATGCTTTCCCAGGGTGTCTCATTTGTATCACAACTCAGTGAGCTGTGAACAGTCATGTTATGATAACCGGGGGATAGTAATGCAAATCCATGTTAACCACAATCACCATCTCACCATCACCATCATGACTGCCAGCGTACCCCCAACAACCTACCCCATCACACTCCATAGCCACACCGCCGTCACCTCCACCGCTACCAACACCCACTTTTCACACACCACTCCACAGCCCCCCTCCATCATCTCCATCACCAGCACCCACTCACCACACCCCACTCATAGACCATCATGACTGCCAGCGTACCCCCAACAACCTACCCCATCACACTCCATAGCCACACCGCCATCACCTCCACCGCTACCAACACCCACTTTTCACACACCATTCCACAGCCCCCCTCCATCATCTCCATCACCAGCACCCACTCACCACACCCCACTCATAGACACACCACCATCAACTCCACCACCATCCTCTTTCCTTTAATGAAAAACACGTAACGATGGAGGGGCTACTGACAGTCCAGTGAGCCCTGCGGAGAGCTGGCTTGGCTCACCCTGTCCCATGGCTGAAGTCTGCTCTTATCCACTTGGCTGCAGGAAGGGGCTGTCTTGAACTGTTGCTTCTGGGCTCCTTCTCTGAATTTGTTTTCCAGACAGAATATGCCAGAGGTACTTTTGCTGGCTTAAAGAGTCTGTGAATAGTGAAACTTCCCTCCACTCCTCCTGTGAGCACCCCGACAAGTTTCTTCTCTCCTACTCCCTCCCTGCTGGTATCTGCTGGACCAGCTGCTGGGAGTAACCTTTTCATTTTATCTCTTGTGCCAGGAGGCTCAGGCAGGGGTATGCTGGCAGAACTAGAGTAGGGGGTAGAATGGAGAAGATCTGCCAACTGGAGATGCCCAGGAGAAACCTCTAAGCCTGTTGTTTCAGTGACATCAAGAGACTCTCAGAAATGTTATTTGAACAACACTGAAAAACCCTGGAAGAGATGCCTCCACGAACTGGAGACCCATATCCAAATCTCAGGCCCTAAACATATGGGCTGCAAGTTGCTAGATGTTTATAGGCTGTTTTGATAATTTAAAGAGAGAACATGAGTGTCCAGAATTCATCTGTGTGAAAGAGATAGGAAGTAGAATTTGTTGGTGAAAGATAAATGTCCCAAAAGCAGAAGCCAGGGCCGCAGCTCTTCTAAACCTGCCTGGTCTGGGAGAAGGTTTGGAACTATCTTGGGACTCAAGCTCTATGTCTTTTCAATTTCTCCTTGTTTAGTCACTGAGGAGATGAGACACAGGAAAGGATCTAATATTTGGCCTTCTATGGAATTCTGAAGCCCAGTTTTTTCCTGGGCTTCTGAGACTGTCACCAGAAGCACTCTCAGAAGCAGCTGTACTTGCCTGAATATATATGGGATGTCTACAGAAGGATATAAAACAAACTACACAAACATTGGTTGCCTGTGGGGAGGGGAGCTGGGAGACAGGGTAATTTTTCTGCTCTTTACCTTTTTATACTCTGAAAAATCTGAACTATTACCCACTTGAAGAATCTTATCATGTAAAAAAAAAAAATGAAACTGCTGTCTTCCCACTCCCCCCTTCCAAAGATTCTTCATAAGAAATGAAGAAGTTAATTTTTCATCTTTCAAAGGTAATATATTTTTACCTGGAAAACACAAATCTACTAAAAAATAATTATAAAAGACAAGATAATTTAGTAAGCTGGCTAGAACCAAAATCAGAGAAGCCAATAATTTTCATACCTGCAATCAATAACCAGTTACAAAATATAATTAAAGACCCAACTTTAATGATTGAATTAATAAACAACTATATCAAAAGATGAAATATCTAGAAATAAACCTAAGAAATGTGCAAGGACTGTCAGGAAAACACTTTGAAATGCTATTATGTGACACAAATAGGACTTGAGCAAATAAAAAGGCAGGTCACAATCTTGGATAGGATGACTCAACATCATAAAGATGTCAGTCCTTCCCAAGCTGATCTTAAGTTTAATGCATTTCCAATAAAAACACAAAGATTCTTTTTTCCAATAAAAGCAAGAAGACTTTTCTTTGAAACTATATAAACTAATTCTAAGGTTGAAAATGTACTTTCTAAAACAGTAGTAAAGTATGACTAGTCTTCCTAGATTTTAAAACGTAATATGACATTACTGTAATAGAAAAAGTTCATAAATCAAACCGTAGGCATTAAGTATATGCTCAGTGTGGCACTTTGAATCAGTGGGGAAAATAAGGATTCACTAGTAAATGGTTTTGGGACAAATAGCTTGCCAAAGTGAAGTTGGCTTTTCACCTTATGCCACACACCAAAATAAATTCCAGATGGATCAAAACTCTAAATGTAAAAAATTAAATTCTAAAAGTACTGGAAGAAAAGATAAGAAGACACTTGTTTTTAAGTCAGCTTGGGAAAGCCTTTTAAAATATTATGTAAAACTCAGAAGCCATAAAGAAAAGATTGATAAATTTGGTTCTTTAAAAATTTTTAAATGGAAAAACTCACATAATTAAAAGATATGCAACAAGTTAGGGAAAATGTTTGAAACTCATATCTCACAGGGTTAATTTCCTTAATAAAAAAGATTCCTACAAATGAAAAGAACAACAAATCAATAGAAAAATGGGTGAAGGATATGACAGATAATCCACAGAAAAGAAAATAAAAGTCTCTCAAATATGTGAAAAGATGTCCAAACTCACCTAATATAAATGCAAAATACAACTACCCTGAGATATCATTTTTTTCACCTATCAGATTGGCAAAGATAAAATAGTTTGACAGGGGCCAGCCCGTGGCTCACTTGGGAGAGTGTGGTGCTGATAACACCAAGCCAAGGGTTGAGATCCCCTTACCGGTCAAAAAAAAAAAAAAAAAAAAAAAAAAAAAGTTTGACAACATTCTGAGTTGGTGGTGGTTTGAGGAAATAGTTACTTTCTTTTATTGCTGGTGAGAGTGCCTTTACAGAGGCTGTATGAGTCAGCTTGGGCCGCCGTAACAAGATGCCATAGACTGAATGGCTTAAGCAACAGATGTTTATTTTCTCATAGCTCTGGAGGATTGAAGTTCAAGATCAAGGTGCCATCAGTGTTGGTGTCTGGTGAGGGCTCTCTGCCTGGCTTGCAAATGCCCACCTTCTCATTGTTTCTTTATGTGGCCTGTTCTCTGTTCACACATGAAAAAGGAGAGATCTCTGGTGTCTTTTCCTCTTCTTATGAGGACACCAGTCCTATTGGATTAAGGCTCCACTCTTGTGACCTCACTTAACTTTTATTACCTCCTTATAGGCTCCAAATATAGCCATATTGGGGATTATTGAAATTCATTCAACATATGAATTTGGGGCAGGGGGACACAATTCAGTCTGTAACAAAGGAAATTAAGTAGTATCTACCCAAATTCTAAATGTCTGTACTTTTGATTCAGTCATTCCACTTCTAGATATTTATTATGCAAATAACCAACAGGTGTAAAATAAAATTTATACAAGTATGTTCAAATACATCTATATTTATAATAGCTACAGATTGGAAACTACCTAAACACCCATAAATAAAATATTGGATAGATAAATTTATGGGATATGCATTCAATAGAATACTATACAAGTGTGAAAAATAATGAAGTAGCTCTTTATAAACTAATATGGAACGATCTCCAAGCTGTAATGTTAAATGGAATAGTAAGGTATAGAACAGTGTAAACAGTATGCTACCTTTGCATAAACGGTTTGTGAGTCAGAATATATGTATGGATCTGCTTGTGTTTACATAGGATATTTCTGGAAAGTAACTGCTTCTTCACAGGGAAATTCAGTGTCTAGGGGCAAGGATTTTTTCTATATACGCTTTTTGTTTCTTTGTACCATGAGCATATACTTATGTGTTAATATTTTTAAAATAACAAAAAGTTTCAAGAGAAAAAAAAGACTGGCTGAAAGAACTGTTTTCACCACGGACAGCCCGCAAATGGGAAGGCAATGGGGAAGGTTATGGGCTGGCTTCCCTTTTGGGAGTTTGTTCTATTTCTGATACTAGCAAAGAGAATCATTTCTTTCCTGGTACAGTTCCCATGAGAGTTTCAGAAATATCTGGTTTCTAGAAGTATTTCAGTTGGGGCACTTTTGGGGGAGTCCATGAGGAGACAGATACTGCTGTGTTTTGGTTGAGCTGGGGAATGGTGAGTGGGAGAGGTGAGGAAGTTAGAGGGAGGGGTGACCAGAAAGGTCTGTTCTTCTTCCTGCAGCACCCACGCCTTTCAACTCCCTAGCCTCTGGCAGAAAACCCCTCAGCTGGTGTGTACCCAAGGAGAATTCATTTATTCACTTGTGAAATTAATATTTATTGAGCACTATTGTGCACCAGGAACTGTATTATGTTCTAATAATACAGTAGTAAATTAGATAGATGTGAACTTATATTCCAGCAGGGGGAGACAGACAGTACTAAGTGCTTACTTAAACCATTAGTTATTTGCCTGCCATTGTGATAAGTGCTATAAAAAAGAAGGTCTGAGCTCTCAGGCCTAGGAGTGGAGGTCAGGATAGGTTTCCCTGAGAAAGTGACGTTTACGCTGAGAAACTGGGAGGATAAATAGGAGTTAGCTAAGCAATGGGGCAAGGGGTGGGCTGGGGTGGGAGAGAGAGAGGACAGCATGTACAAAGGCTCTAAGGCAAGGAGCGACTGAAAGAAGGCCAGGGGATTGCATCACAGAGAGTGATGGGGAGAGAGGAGTTAGCTAAGCAATGGGGCAAGGGGTGGGCTGGGGTGGGAGAGAGAGAGGACAGCATGTGCAAAGGCTCTAAGGCAAGGAGCGACTGAAAGAAGGCCAGGGGATTGCATCACAGAGAGTGATGGGGAGAGACAAGGTAAGGGCTAAATCTTGCAGAGTTAAGAGTTTTGAGTTTGATCCATGGAGCAGTGGGAAGTGGTTGAAGACATTTTAAGCAAGGGAATAACACAGTCAGATTTGCATTTATAAAATACCACACTGGCAAAAATAGGGGAAATGATTTAGAGGGGCAAAAGGGGAAGAGAGATGACCGATAAGAGACTACTGTCGTGATTTAGGTGAAAGATGATGGTGCCTTGGTCAAGGGGCTGTTGGTGAACATAGATGTGAACAGATTTGTCAGAAATATAGGAGGTTAAATTGACAAGGCATGTTTATGGACAGGACATGGAGTGCAAAGAGGAAGAAATTCAACAGGACTGCCATGCTCAAGTAAATTAATTATGCTGGTACATTGCTTTATGAAGCATTTTTACATACATTATCTCATATGATCTGAACGTCAATCTTGTAGACTAGATAAGGGATCATCATTCTAATTTTATTGATGAGAAAACAAGTCCAGGTAGTAAAATTTACTTTAATGAATGAATTAATAAATAAATCAATTAATATACTGCCTCATTCCAGAAAGAATTTAAGAAGACTAATAATGAAATATGATATTGCATGAGAGCATATTAAAATGATGAAAATGATGACAATAGAGATGAAACCCAAACGGCTAAGGAAGAGGATAAAACTGAATGTTATAATCTACCTGTACACATGCTATCCACACACTACAAATTTATCTCTAAGCTTTCCAGGAGTTTCTCATTATCTCACAGCTTATGGTAAAGCCTAGAATCAATTGAGGTCTTCCAACTCAAATCCCACATATTTGATTTCACATTAGCCTTAATCCAAACCACCACTGAGAAAGTATCTCTATTCAATCTTTTAAAATCTCTCAAGGGTTTCTGCTTCTAGGTACAGCAGACTAGCTTGTTACCATCCCCTCTGTTGAGAACAACTAGAAAAGCTGAATGAAATATTTAAAATATCTGAGGATCAAGAGCTTGGGGAGGAGAGGAGCATAGAGAGGTGAACCTTATGCTGACAGCCACTTTTCCGTCTGGGGCATTTTCTGATTCATAATCGGCAGATAAGAGCCTGAGAATGTGAGTAGATCTTCTGGCAGTCTCACAGGGTGGGAGTTCCAGGGCCACAAGGGTTGAGGGTCATTAATAAACACCACAGGCTTTAGATTGGGACCCCAGAAGGGCTTTGCCCTAGGAGTACAGGTAAATAGTAAATAGATCAACCCTTATAAAAGACTGAAACCCAGTTTTAAAACAGCCTTGATTACAGTGCTCTGCCCCTATCTTAACTGCCTGCCAGAAAGAAAATTCCCTGGAGGATATTAGCATTATCCAGAGCCTGGCATTACCTATTATTACAGAACCCTTCCTTACATTCCCCAGTTTCATTCATTTTCCCAGCTCAGACACTTCCTGAACACCCTTGCTATGCCAGGTTAGTGGCCTGCCTCCCCTCAGGAAGCTCCAGGCTCACATCCAGTCTGAAGCTCAGTCTCATCCTGCAGGGTCCAAGGAAAGCTGGGTGTGTCTCAGATCAGCACTCTGCAATCAAATTCTTTTTGTCTGTACTCCTGGAAAAGTGGCAGACCCAAAGCTGGCACCATGTGCTTTCTGGATACCAGGAAGTCGGGTCTCAGGGATAGTAGAGAGAAGACATTGGTTAGTTGCTTGCCTGGTGGTCCGTGGGCAGATGGTGAGGGATAAAAGACAGACAGTGGGCCTTGAAGGTCCAGAGACCAAAGGAAGAGCAAGGCTGGGAAACAAAGTCTAGCTCTTGCTTCTGCCTGCCCCTTCTACACAGCCAGCCTCAACTTCTAGTTATTCACAAGGTTGGGGCAAATGAGAGCTGCTGCTCCTTCCTTGAATTTCAGACTAGTTTATAGCACTAACAAAGATACCTTTGGGAGCACTATGCAGCATGGATGGCATGGTGGGGATTTGGAGTCAAACAGACCTTGCTGTGTGATCTTCAACAGGTCGGCTAATCTCTCCAAACCAGATAAAGTCCTTTCAATAAAAGCAACTGGAACCGGTTTTGGTCAACTTAGACAAAACAAAACAAAACAAGAGTATGAGGGAGCTCCTAGACTGACAGGATAAAGGAAAACCAGGCTCAGAACTAGGAGAAGGGTGTAGGGCCGGCCCGTGGCTCACTCGGGAGAGTGCAGTGCTGATAACACCAAGGCCATGGGTTCAGATCCTATATAGGGATGGCCGGCCCCTTACCGGCCATCTTTAAAAAAAAAAAAGAGAGAGAGAACTAGGAGAAGGGTGAAATCCAGGGCAGCTCAGAAGGGTGTAGGCAGCAGGAGGGTGTAGGCAGCAGGAGTGGAAGGCCAGTCCCTCTCTGGGTCTCTCCTGCTGGGATGAATGGGCTCCAAGTTTCTTCCTTCTCCACTCTGAAGGAGAAGAGTCTGGTTCATTCCACTCTGAAGTCAAAGTCCTGGGGGAAGAGTCCGATTGGTCCAGTATAAGGCACATGCCCACCTTTTGGCTGTGGAAAGGCAGAGCACCTTGGCTGATAGATCCACCAAGGCTATACGACAAGGAAAAGGGAATTCCTTCTAAAACCCCTTACAAGGCTCCTTTTTGCCCGAAGTGGAACTAGGTGTCTTAAGAAGAAAATTATACTAAGTTTCATTGGGATTGAGGGATTGGAGGGTTAGGAGGTTGATGGTTGGAGATGGGTTGGGGAGGACCTTATCTGCCCTGTTTATTGCTCTATTCCCTGGGCCTAGAACATTCAGCACTTAAGTACTCAATAAATGTTAAATGAATGGATGGAAGACAGCTTTTACTTTCAAGGAAGGCCTTAATCAAAGAAGTGACTCTGATGGGAAATGCAAGCTCCTATGGCAGGCGAGGGCAGAGAACTATTTGTCCTTTAGATGCTTCTTAAATCACACGAAGTCTGCTCAGCTTTGCAAAGTAGAATCAACTCTGAGCATTAATATTGCAGGCAGCGACTGTGATCCAAGACTTAGAGGAAACAAACGCCTGAAGATGATTATGATTTAAACTCCTTAGACTGCCACTTGAAGTTTTTCACCACCTGGCTCTTGCCTCGTTTTTTCCTGCTACTTGATCTCCCCCCCACGGAGAGTCCTGGGGAGCTGTGCAAATGGCTCAGGGAACCATCCATCGCTGGCATCTCCCCTGCTCACTGTGAAGCCTCTGTGTTGGTTGGCAATGGCACAGCTTGCATTTGAACTCACTCCTTCTCTTGAAGCTGAGAGTCCTGGGGAGCTGTGCAAATGGCTCAGGGAACCATCCATCGCTGGCATCTCCCCTGCCCACTGTGAAGCCTCTGTGTTGGTTGGCAATGGCACAGCTTGCATTTGAACTCACTCCTTCTCTTGAAGCTTAAAATCCACACATCCAGCTCATTGTCCCAGAATTTATAACCCAAAGTCTACATTTACGTTCCGGTAACCCTTGATATCCTTAAACTTGTTGCTCCTCAGATTAGCTTGGATCTGCCTTTGGCCACTCTTGAAGGGGACAGTCCTCAGAGTGATGCTGGCTCTATGTTGGGGTTTGAGGACTCCAATACTGCAGCAGAGAATGGAGAATGTCAATAAACTGTAGGCATTATGATAACCCCAAAGTCCTTTTCCCCTCAGCTTCCTGGTCTCTCCCTTCTCCAGTATTCTGAGCCTGACCTGGGAGCCGTGTCCAGAAAGAAGGATATTGCTAATCCCAGGATAAAATGGGAGGGAAGGCTGAGCACTCCCAGAACTTACAGGACTCTCTGCTGTTTCTTGAAGAGACCACTTCCTTCCACAGTCAGCATACAGTCTGCAACCTGCTCTGAGAGGGGGTTTGAAAATATCACCTGTATCGAGAGTGGCTGGTTCACAATGGCTGCTCCTAGAACCTAAACAGAATCCCAGAATAGGGGAAGGAGTGGAGAATTAGTACCTGCTGTGGTTTGAATGTTTGTCTCCTCCAAAACTCATGTTGAAACTTAATCCTCAATGTAAGAGTATTAAGGGGTGGGACCTTTGGGAGATGATTGGGTCATGAGAGCTTCATTCATGGATTAATGGATTACTGGGTTGTCAAGGGAGTGGGTTAGTTATCACAAGAATGGGTCTGTTATAGAAGCCAGATTGGCTCTCTCTCATGAGCCCCCTTGCCATGTGATGATGCCCTGCACTGCCTCCGGACTCTGCAGAGAGTCCCCACCAGCAAGAAGGCCTCACCAGATGTAGCCCCTCAATCTTGGACTTCCTAGCCTCTACTACTATAAGAAATAAATTTCTTTTCTTTATAAATCTCAGGTGTCCAGTTATAATAACAGAAAATGGACTGAGACAGTCCTCATTCCCCAATTCACCAAACCTTTATGGAGGGCACTGTTCTGTAGGGTGGCAAAATATGCCACCCCAAAATATGTCACTTTGGCATAAGGATTATTTTGAGCTGAAGACAATTGAGAAGAAGCAGGTATAAGAAAAGCTCTCTGGTCACCCTTGTTTGCCTAAAAGCAGGACATAAATTTACAAAGGTCATACTCAATCCCCCCAACCCCTCGCTACCAGGAAGTACAAAAGTTCATCACTGAGATGACTTTAGACAGCACCAGAGGAATCTACCCAACAAACTTTACTAACCAGCTTTTATCCACTAGGAGTTTCCCATATATTTGCCTTCCCACAATTTGTCACCCCTTGAGACTCAAGGTCCTTTTCCTTTGTCTTGTTACTTCTCTAAAACCATATTGCTCTTTTGCTAAGATGCTACATAACTCAAGTTCTAGCCAAATGTTTGAGTTAACCCACCAGGGACTTCATTGGCTCACTCAGCAGGGTCCAGGAGGCTGGCTGGCCTTGGAGAGAAAGCATGGAAGGAAGGGACCCCTTAAAGTCCTTCCACTCAGAAGACCACACAGAAAGTCAAAGCAGGAGGGGTCCTCTGAGACCATCTAGTCTAATCCCCCATTTTGACAGTTTAAGGAGAAGAGGCCCAGGAGCTTGTCCAAAGAAGTCCAAGAAATGGCAAATCAAATCTGAGCTGACTTTCAGGCAGGGCTCCTCCCCCGATCTGAGACCCTCCCATCTGGACTCAAGTTTCCTCATGTTGACCCTGGGGAAGGCCAAGAGCAGAAGGTGGCAGAAGAGATGGTCTCTCTGCAGCCCCTGCCCAAGGATCCACCATTAGGCCTCTGGTGGTACAAGAGGATGACGATCTCTCAGATAAAACTCTCCCTTCTGGGGGTGCCTGAAGAGGCAAAGGAAAGGAGGGGCTGCCCTCCCAAGCAGGCCCACACTGCCCTCTCTGAGGGCTCCACCTCCTGCCAGCTGGATCCAAGGGGCCCACAGGCCACTTGCAGGGCTCTTGCCTACATTAATCATGATGGCCGGATAAGCTAAGGTGATGATCTTGTTCGCCAGGATTTTCTCAGGACTGTTCTTCTCTTCACCCAGGGCACTGATGCGGATCAGCTTGTCTGTTGACAGGTACTGGCTGTACTGGGAATAGGGGATTTTGCAGGGGTGGGTCTTTGCTAGGGAGAGAACACAAGGATGAGGTGAGAGTAGCTCAGAAAATCAGCTGGGCCTGAGTTGGATCTGCAGGACTCTTCCATAGAGAAGAGGAAGCCAACATGGACCAAGTCCTGGTGAAGCAGATATTAGCTTTTCAGATGGAGAAAGTTAGGTTCAGAGAGGCAAAATGGCTTGCCCAAAGCCATTCTGCTCATAAGTGGGTGACCTGAGGCTCCAACCAAGGTCTAGATGACTCTGAAGCACAGGCTTTTCCCACTAAACTGGCTACTTTCCTTGGGTAATAAAGGAGGGAGAGATGAGGAGGAGGTGACAGGAAGGAAAGAGAAGGAATGGAGACGGAAGGGACAGGGAAGGAGAGAAGGGGAGAAAGAAGAATCTGTGCTGGAGGGGACAGTAGGAAGAACAGTGCCCCAGGGGTCTGCCCCCAGAACCCAGTTGGCTGGCTTGATCCCACTGGCATTGACATAACCAACTCTGTACAGCCTGCCCCATGCCTATGCCCAGAGCCCATACCTTCTTTAGGAGAGAGTGTGATGAACACGATGTCCTGCCAGAATGGGGACAGGGGGCTCCCATCATGCAGCAGGGACTGGGCACTCAGGTTCACTTTGAGGTCCTTGAACTTGGGTGACATATTGAGGGCCAGCAGGACAAAGCTTATATCCTGGCCCATGTTGGGCAGGTCGAGCAGCTTGAATTTCATGGAGACCTGGATAACATCACTGGGTTGAAGAGAAGGTGTATTCAGACTCCGAGGGCTGGCCTGGCTCAGTGGCATGGTCCTGGAAGGTTGAAAGTCTGCTCGATGGTGGCCTTGGGACCTTTCAGCCTTCAGCTTCTGCAGAGCCTTCAGAAACACCTGCCTCTCCTGGGGGGACCCTAGGGGGCAGAGCATGGCACCAGCTTTGAGCCAGGCTGACCCAGGCATGAGCCAGGCTGAACACCCCACCCTCAACACCTCCATCAACACTGCACACAGCAGCGGGTAGGGAGCTTAAAACCTTCCTTTCCAATAACAAACACTCCCCTGCATTCATCAAGTGCTTTCTAAGAGTCAGGCTCTGCTGAGCACCTTTCATCCTCATATCAACCACAAGAGAGATTATTATTATTATTATTATTCCATATGCAGATGAGAAAAAGGAGGCTCAGAGAGCTCATGTCTCTTGTCCAAGTCACACAACTGGCACGGAGAATGCCAAATCTGCCCGACTCCAAAACCTGTGCTCATAACCTCTCGATGTTATCCTGACACCCTCAAAGGAAAAACAAAGGCTCACAAATGCAGAGGAATAAACCCTTTAAAGAGAGCAGGGCATGGCGTGATTTCCTGCTCCAGAACCAAATTATTGGTCAGGTATAGACTAGTTCCTAGAAATTGAGAAACTGAGAAGCATAGTAAAATAAACGAATGAATGAACGAAGGAACAAACAAACAAACAAACAAATAATAAATAGGACAGTCAGGCAAGCAGAATTCCCAGAGTGGCCCAAGCCTCTCTGCTCAGTCTCAGGGCGACCCTGTGGATAGAATGTGCAGGAATACTCTCCCCTGCATCTCTACTAATCCCAGAAGCTGCCTCTACTGAGTACTCACCCCTTCCATGCATTTACCGCAATTACCTGAGGCAGAGGCCACTTTTATCCCCTTGCTCTGGGGGTTGTTCTAAGTCCAGTTCTGGGCCAGCAGAGGGTCTTTTTTTTTTTTTTATCTGATTGTTTTTATTTTATTTATTTTTAAAGTAATTTATTTTTTATTACTATACTTATCATTACATAACTCTAATCCCCCAAGTTCACGGGGGACCCTGTGGACCTCTGCGGTGAACACTGTCAATGCCCCTCCCACATCCCATTGACACTTGCCATGTCAGTGTCCTTGGGCCCAACTCTCAAACTGTAGCCCCTGAGATTCCATCTGAGAGTTTCTCTGCCACCAGAGCAGACTCAGCCCATGCATAGGGCTGGCCAGAAGTGCTAGGGAATTTACACCGCCAAGGAGCAGCCCTCAACCCATGACTGACAGAAGTTGGTGGAGAAATACCCCAGCACCCTTGCGACAAGTCCACAGTGTTGTTCTACACTTTACATGAATAAATAGTAGGGATGCTAGATTTAGCAAATAAAAATTTGCTAAATTTGAATTTCAGATGAACAACAAATAATTTGGGACACACTTATACTAAAGCGTTTTTCATCCTGGATTTTTCCTTGGTAACCCTACTCCCAGAGCTCCCAGCAGGTGCAAGCTCCAGCTGTCCATGGTGTCAACACTGTGATAATACACTCTACACTAGCTTCCTTCCCTTCCCGTTCTCATTTCCCCACTCTCTTACCAGTATTTTCTGGATTGCCTCACAGATAAACCACTGGTACTTGAATCCTTGCCTCAGGATCTGTTTCTGGGGCAGCAGAACCAAGATAACCCCACAGTCAATGGAGAGTAAGTGGCGATGGTACTGCTGGGCTGTGTTCATTACTTGTCTCTTACTGTGCATCCCCTTCCCAGGTGGGGGTTCAGGAGCTTCTCTGTGTCTGTCCCAAAGGCCCACATGGAAAAACCACAGCCACCCACTGGTCAGTGCTCCCAGCAATTGTTCAGGCCCCCTGCCCTCCACAACCCTGATGTGCTCCTGTTCAGATCCCGTGCCGGCCAGATCTCAGCCCTGCCCCCTTTCCCTGCTTCTGGCCCTTGTGCACTGGCTATTTTTGCTTGGCTCCTTTGTAGTTGAACCTGGTGGTTGGCCTTTCTCCATTTCCAGGAATTCATCTACTCTTGGCCAACTCAGCCTCCCTTTGGCCCAGCTGGCTTGGGCAAGGAGCCTCTGCGAGGGCTCTTACCTCAGAATTGTCCTCTGGCCCTGCTGGCTCCACGGGGGAAGGGGTGGGAGTGAACATTTGGCCTTACATCAGCCTGGGTGCTGGCTGGTGGTCTGGCCTGTCGTCTTAACACTCAGTAAAACACAATTCATTGAACAATAAGTTAAATAAAATAAATTAATGAGCAGGAGAGAGTTTACTAAATCCCCTGCCATCTTCAGTAGGAGGCTGATTTTGGGGGGAGGTAGGGGTGGAGTATTCATATTCTGTTGGCGAGATGCCTGCGAATGGCTCTACAGTCACCGCGAGCATCTTGTGGAGGGAGCTTCCTGGCCTGTGGGATGTGGAGTGGTGCTGGACATGAGGAAGTAATGCAGTGGGGACACCTCGACTGGGACCTTAAAACTGAATGGCAGAGGAGACAGTGGACCTGTGTCCTGCCCCACAGATGCTCTCTGGTTCCCTGGGGAAGGGAAAGTGCCCAAAGGACATGGACTCTGAGTGGGTCTGGCTTCGTTGTACCTTCTCCATACTTGTAGTTCTCTGTGATGTCATCCCTTTCGTCACTCTGAATGCTCTTAGTGCTAATACAACTGCCGACAGAATTTGTGTCCCGGTGAAGTTTCTGCTCCTTCCCTCCAGAGACGAGCCAGGACATGCAATCAGCGTTCACCATGGAAAACACGAAGGGTGTGTCGTACTTCAGATCCACTTCTCCTTCTTTGATGGCTCTGACAGAGGCAGGGCCACAGCAGTAGAGGCCTGAATGAGTACAGGAGAGCCTTGGTGGGCCGTGTGTTGCAGGGCCAGGCAGGGGCAGGGGCACATTCAGGGGGTGGGTCTTGCCTTCCTTCTGGAGAGCCTCACCATTGCTTGTCTCCTGAGGTGTGGCATCCAGCACCTGCCAGCCTCCATATCCAGGAGGGAGGTCCTTTCGGGCCATCCAGCACTCATTCCAGACGTGGAAGTTCCTGAGGGAGAAGCCAGAGGAGTCTGTCAACAGAAGCTAAGGGAGGGGTTGTACAGCTTGCTCTTTCTGGAGCAAGGCAGGGGATGGGGGAGCAGATGCAGAGTGAAATAGAAAGACAGGCTAGGGCTCCACAGGGCTGGGAATGTCTGTGGGGGAGGAGTGATGCCTCCTTCCCTGGGAGCCTCTGTTTGCCACCCAGAACAGAGCTTCCCTCTACTGACTCTGTGAACAGAGTCCACCGAAGTTAAAAGTCATTCACGCTCTCTCTCAAGTGTACCCCTGTGGCCCTTTCTCTCTGTGTGTTGCTGACTCACAGAGGCATCCATGGTCTCTGAGTCTCTCCTGTGTTCAGAGCCATAGGCTGAGTTTTAGATGAAGGAGGTGACAAAAAGGAAAACCTCAGCCTAGGGCAGACAGCTCTTATGATGTGAGGATTCTAAACCCAATATTGGCCTTTTTCAGCTGTCTCCCAGCTGAAGCCTGGTAAGGGCGTGTGTGTGGGAGGGGCTGGCAGGGGTGGGTGTGGTGGAGGACATGAAGAATTGCAGGTTCCTGGACTCAGCCCTGCCCTCCTTCCTGCTGTGGGGTTTAGCTCCCTTTTTCAGCTGTCTCCCAGCTGAAGCCTGGTAAGGGCGTGTGTGTGGGAGGGGCTGGCAGTGGTGGGTGTGGTGGAGGACATGAAGAATTGCAGGTTCCTGGACTCAGCCCTGCCCTCCTTCCTGCTGTGGGGTTTAGCTCTGATTTGTGGCTCTGGAAATAGACTGAGAAGTTGTTTCTCACCAGATAGTATCCTTCTTCTTATTCTCCAAAATCCTGCCTGTGTTGTCATAATACTCATCTATGATCAGGTTTCCATCTGTGTCATGGCCAGAGTCAAAGTTGGTGATCACACGGGTGGGGATCCCCAGGCACCTCATCACTGCAGAAAGGACAGAAGAAGCATCTGTGGACTGTGGATTTGGGAACGCTATGGATTCCTGGACTTAGGGCCCTGGACTTAGGGAAATCATTTATTTGGCATCTGCAAGACCAGGCAGAAGCTGTCTGGGTCACTGGGTTGGTGACATTTCCAACCTCCCTCCCCATTTTCTGAGCTCATGGGAGAGACTCCATGCAAAGGTTAGAATGCCGGCTGCTCAGACGAGCACTGACAGAGCCAACAGAAAGTCTAGCGAGTCATCAGTTCTCCTGCCCACGCCAGCAGTGTGGGACAGGTGTGCCATGTCTTTGGCAAGACTCAGAGGCCTGATTCAGCCTCACTTCTCTCCTGACCATAAATCTCCATCTTCAAACCAAATAGCTAGAATTCTATTCCTTCCTGTGGTTAAAATTATTGGCTGAGATCATCAGATTCTCAAAGAAAGTTCTGTGGCTTGGATTCCACTTTTTTCCTGGGTCTATCATCTTGGAAGCCCCTCAAGGAAAGCATCACAGATCAAGCTAGGAAGGAAAGAAACCATGTAACAAAAGTTAGAAAAGTGAGAGTCTGTCCTTGGTAGAGAACTTCTTGAAAGGAGGTAGAATGTTGTATTAGTCCGTTTTGTGTTGCTATAAGAGAATACCTGAGACTGGGTAATTTAGCTCATGATTTATTTGGCTCACGATTCTGGGACAGCTGCATCTGGCACAGGCCTCAGTCTGCTTCTACTCATGGCAGAAAGTGGCAGGCAGCCGGCAGGTACAAGAAGATTACATGGTGAAAGAAAGCAAGAGAGAGAGAGCAGGGACGTGCCAGCATCCTGTAAACAACCAGCTCTCAGGAGAACTAACAGAGCGAGACCTCACTCACTACCCCCACCCCCCAGGGAGAGCATTACTCCATTCATGAGGGATCTGCCCCCATGACTCAAACAGCTCCCAACACTGCCACACTGGGGATCAGATTTCCACATGAGTTTTGAGGGGACAACACATCCAAACTCTATCAGTTGTCTTTATTCCCGAGAGGCATCCATTTCCTTTACCAGCCAACTTCTTTTCTTTGTCCTCTGGATCTGCCCCCATGACTCAAACAGCTCCCAACACTGCCACACTGGGGATCAGATTTCCACATGAGTTTTGAGGGGACAACACATCCAAACTCTATCAGTTGTCTTTATTCCCGAGAGGCATCCATTTCCTTTACCAGCCAACTTCTTTTCTTTGTCCTCTGCGTATTTCCTCCATTCTGTACTCTTAGGTACAGCAATATTCCCCAGCCCACCCGACCATCAAATGCCCTGGGGATCCCTGTCCCCTCAGGTCTAGTAGCAATAGTCCATCCAGTTCAATAATGTGAATAATAATAATTGTGTATACCAGCCAGGCATAGTGCTAAATGTTTCAGATAACTTATCCTCAGAACAACTCTACATGGTAGCTGCTATTATGATCTCCATTTTGAAGATTAAGAATCAGAGACTAAGAGAAGTTTGCTACCTTGACCAAGGTCACACAACTAGCAAGCAGCGGAGCTATTGCTCACTGCTAAGCTTGCAGTCAACACTGAGTCCACCTTTCAGGAGTATGCACACAATTTAGCAGTCTAGTATTTGCATGTAATTATACATCCCAAGCATTTTCCCATGTTATCAAATAATTGCCAAAAGCAAGATTTCCAGTGGTGGTTATTTTTAACATTTAGTTGGTTTCCAATTTTTCCCCTGTTGTAAGTAATGCTATGATGACTATCTTTGCATCAATCTCTCCCTGCCCCCTGCCCCTTAGGATAGATTCCAAGAAGTAAAATGACTGAGTCAAAAATATAGATATTTCTAAGCGTTCTTCACACATACTACTGTCATATTTTTTTTAAGTTTATAATTCTTAGTTTAAACAATTAATTGCTTATAGATTTTTTCTAATACTGCACTTTGTCACAAAGCCTCTCTATGCCAGGGTGGGGACACACACCTGGATGCAGCAGGAAAGGGGAGGAGAGAAGTCCAAAGGGGAGCCTCGAGCTCTCCCTTGAGTGGCAGGTCTGAACAGGGCCAAAGAACTAGGGCAGGCAGTGGGCAGAGGTGAGAAGTGGGTGTAGGTGGAGGTGACACAGGACAGCGTGGTGCAGGGGTGAGGTGAAGGTTGAAAAGCTGCCACTGAAGGAACATGAGATGAGAGTGAGGCAAGAGATGAGCATCATGTGGGCACATTTATGCTAAAAGTACAGTCAGGAGGGTGGACAACACACACAGTAACAAGAGATGGTGCCAAGGAGGGGTGGGCAGGGAGAGAGAGCAGGGAGCAGCCTCCACCCGATCTTTACCCTGACTGACGAATTCACGAACGGCCACTTGAAGTGTCAGTGGTGGTGTCAACCCTGCTAAACATGGCTCGATGGGCACTTTCCCACCCTAACACAGATAATTAGTCCCATAGCACTTTGAAGTTCTCTATTAGACCAGAGTATGTGGCTTATAATGATTTGTTACACGTCTGCCTTCCTGAGGGCAGGGATCGTGTGTTATTCATCTTTATCGTTACACAGCCACTAACAATATAGGGCAAGGCCTATTTTGCAGATACTTGGTGCAACTTTGCTGGATGGATGGATGAATGATGTTTCATGAATCTTTTGCCTATTCTGGCGATGTCAGACTTCAGCACAGCACTGTCGTAATGGCTGAGTGCTATGCTCAGGGCTCCAAGCGCAACTGTCTATATAGCACAAGCTTTGAGTGGTGGTGGATTTGCACTGATCTGTTCTTACTCTTTCCTCATCATGGCTTGTGAGAGGACTCTGATGGGGGACAGGCTGTCACAGTGGAACAGAATGAAGTTACATAGGGGCAAGAGTGATTTCTTACATAGAGGGTGAAGACAAGGCTTTAGCTTCAATATCACATGAAGGGTGCTAAAGGTGCTCAGATCTCAGTAACCAAGGTTGTGCACATACATGTTTCCAGGAGCCTTGCTGCATCTGTCCTTCTTGTTCTGTTTTCCCACAAAGACCTCATCCTGTCTATGTCTTTACCTGCCACTTCTGTGTCCAGGACCCCTGAATTTGAATCTATCTGGAGACCTCGCTGTCACTAAACACATCCCCAACTTAACTTGTCTTTCAGTCTTCCCAGTCAAGGACATCATCATACCCATAGGTGCCAGGCATTATCTCACTTAATCTTCTCCGCCATCCTGTGATTATCCCAGTCTTAAAGATGAGACACGTGAAGCTTAAAAGGTGAGGCTACATGGCAGGAAGAAGAAAGCCAGGGCAAGATTTGAACCCATGTCTTCTGATTTCAAAGGCTCCCATGCTTTTAACCAAGACACACCACTGCAACCTCACTGACATCCCAGCCACACCTCAGCCTCACACCCCTTCCTCTGTCAAGTTTTCACCGACTACTGCACACCACACTAACCTCTCTTCTTGTGCTCGCACATAATCCCAATCAGCTATGCCACACATTTTAGCACTGGATTAAGCTCCTATAATTTAATATATCTGTCTTATCTTGTCAGCCAGATTACAAATCCCCCTAAAGTTGGGCTCATATCAGATACTTTTCTTGCATTTCTTTATTCTTAGCACAGTTCTGGGCACAGAGTAGATGCTCATTAAATTCCCTCTGAAGTAAGTTATCTTTAACTTGTGAACAAGGTTTCTGCAGACTATCAGTCCTGATGACTCACAGTTTGACACGAGATTCAGGCCACCCTTTCATTGATAGTTTTGTGAGATCTGAATCCCTCATATAAGAGAAACCCATATGGGGCATGTATGTGTGTGAACATGCACACACATGCATGCACACTCATGCGGTGGTAATTGGGCAAAAGTGGACAAGATCTGAGTTGGCAAAGGACCTCAGAGTTCCTGAGGTATATTACACTACACTCTCAGCATTAATTGTTATGATTCTTCATTCAGCTGTTCAGCACTCCTTCAGTGGTAAGCGTTGAGTCTTTGCTATGGACCAGGCAGTGGATTAGATGTAGAGGATACAAATATGAAAACATTCCTGCCTTGAGGGGCACTACTTCACTCTGACATGTGGTGAACACTGTCCTGATGGTTTATTAAAACATTGAGTATATTTCAGGACTGGCTGTAAATGCTCTTAACCAGTTATTTTCTCCCCAATGTGGAAATGTGGCTCAAATTTTATGAGAAAGATCAGTGGAAAGTGAGAGTTCAATTTACATAAATTCACTCAGTCACATTTGCTGCCACACTGCCATGGCTTATACTAAGGAACACAGTCAAAGTGCCAGCTTGTAGGGTCAAAGTAATTGCATTTAACTGTGATAACTTTTATCATTTTTTAATTCCTCCCTAGATATATTGTTTCAAAATGATAAAAATATCACTTCCTGCCTTTCCTCCCATCCCTTTAATTGTCCTTTATAACCAAGATGGTTATATTGCATGGCCTTTCAGATATGCCATCACAATGTCATATTTAAACTTTTCTCTCTCATCTGCCACAGCAATGAAATAAAATCTTATTTGTTTCTTTAACAGTACCTTAAAAATGCAAAGGTGTGTTATCTGTTTTCCATGATAATCTCCAGTCTTCTAGCCTGCACTAGGGCAAGGCCCTGCCATAATTATTTTTTTGATAAGGAAATATACAATTCATAACTAAACCATGGTCATCAAGTTCTGCCTCTTACTCAAAAATACAGGTGTGCACTGTTTATGGAGAAATAGGAAATGTCATCAAGGATACCAACCTTTAAGGGGCTAAGCACAAAGTGAAGGACCCACATAACACAGATTATGTATGAGACAAAAAAGGCAGCCCAGAGGATGGGACTGGGGAGTTTCCAAAGAACTGTGAGACTTGCTTTGTGGCTCTGTCGGGTATTTGTAAGGGCCATCTGAGGGGTCTTAAATGATAGAAGAGGCCCCTTCACAGTGAGCACTCCCATGGTCTACTCCCTCTGTCCTCAAAGAAGTCAGTCACCTGGACTGATAGAAAAAAGACAAAAACC